CAACAATCTTATGCACTGGACTCCTCGCCACACTCAATGGCGCTTCAGAAATAGCCTCAAATGCTTCACTTTCAGTTAACTCCGATGGGGCAATCAGGCCGCCCTTTTCAATCGCTTCAACTGGTACAACTGGTACAACTGGTACAACAGGTGCAACTGGCTCGCGCTTCCTAATCCTCAATGGCGTGATAGGACTGTCGTCTTCAACAGGTGCAACAGGTGCAACTGGCTCGCGTCTCCTAATTCTCAATGGTGCAATTGGACNCGGACCGGCCTTTTCAATCGCTTCAACTGGTGCAACTGGCTTGTGCTTCTTGATTCTCAATGGCGTGATAGGAGTGTCATCTTCAACAGGCGCAACAGGTGCAACTGGCTCGCGTCTCCTAATTCTCAATGGTGCAATCGGACTGTCATCTTCAACAGGTGCAACTGGTGTAACTGGCTTGTACTTCTTGATTCTCAATGGCGTGATAGGAGTGTCATCTTCAACTGGTGCAACTGGTGTAACTGGCTTGTGCTTCTTGATTCTCAATGGCGTGATAGGAGTGTCAACTTCAACAGGTGCAACTGGTGCAACTGGCTCGCGTCTCCTAATTCTCAATGGNGAACTTCAATCATCTCAGTTTTCGAATTCGAGGTGATGTGTTGCTCGAAAACTTTCTCATTTTGTATTTTGTTGTTCACATGGTGGTTTTGGTCTTGGTGGTGGTGGGGTTGGTTTTGGTCTTGGTGGTGGTGGTTGGGGTGATGGTGATGGTAATTGGGGTGTTGGTGTTCGTGGTGACGGTGATGGTGGTGATGGTGTTGGTGTTGGTGGTGGTGTTGGTGGTGGTGATGGTGGTGATCGTCATTAGTCTCGGACTTGGAGTGATCCGGGACCAATTGGTTAGTTGCATTTGCAACTGGGACTGGTTTTCTACTCGTCATAATAGTGAACATTTTCATTTTATCCACTGAGTGGCGAGTAACGATAATACGCAGGCTACGTGTGAGCTTAGTAGCGGCGTATTGGGGTGACATGATGATGAGGAGAAGAAGAAGAAGAAGAAGAAGAGGAAGAAGAAGAGGAGGAGGAGAAAAAGGGGGAATTCTGCTATGATGTGTATTTGTGGACTAATATTTTGATATGTTTCGGGGGAAAAACAGAGCACTTATTACAGAAAACTACCAGGAAGAAGAATGAGTGACTTGAATTGAGGGTATGAGTGCTGATTATGAGAGTTGAGTACGTTGAACTGTGTATACACGACATCCATATCGAGATGTATTGATAAATATAGATCAAGACGTAGCAATCTGACTATCATGTTTCATTTCAATTCGTTTTGTCTTGCCAAAGCCAATAATTTCCAAGATTAGGGTTATACTTGCACTGATATTGCATTTGGCTGTCTTGGCGATGGTTGAATAGATGTACATGTTTACTAGTGTGCATTGGTGTTTGCTTCGTACATTTTTGCAACCAAGGATTGTATTGAGACAAATGAAGCATGATAGTTGAGTATTTGAATGTAAAGCGACCCCATCTGTGTGTCAATTGCCGATTAGAGTAACAGACATTTGTGCAGGTTCTGGAATTTGCAACTTTTGCATCTCGATGTGGTTCAGTGTACTGCCATTTGGTGTCTAGTTCATATCGTTATGAAATTTACTCAAAACGAGAAATGAAGGAAAGGGTTTTCGTGAGGAGTAGGTATAATATTATATATTATACAAATGACAAGCATTGTACAAGTAGAAGAGCAACTTCGTTGAACTTGCAGCAGCAGCAGCAGCAGCACTACTATTTAGCTGTCTCACTAGAGCACCTGAGCGGTAACAACGCGAATTTTGCTTCTATTCTATAACTTGTATAATTTAGATAGAATGCATTTTCCATACAATTTGACTCTTGAAAAGAATATCAGCCAATCGTTTACTAGAATGTAGTGACTGCTTTAGGAAACAGAAAAATGAAGGTGATGTCTGACAAGGACAATTCTGGTTGAGATCAACAATGCAAATACAGGTTCAATCATGTAGAAAATAACAGGTCCAAAGTGTTCGCAAAAAGAGCTGTGAGGGATGTCTCAAATACACACCAAATCAGGCACAAACGAGCATGGCCCGCATCATAAAGCTTGAGAGGATTAGTTGAATAATGTGAAACAAAAGGAGGCATAATCACCAAACACATAATAGGTCTAACCTTTCAGCTCTTCAATGGTATACTCATAGAAATGTTGACCAATGCTTATTCAACGTCAAAGCGAATGTAAGTATGGGTGAGGATAGTGGCCAGTAGCATATTTTGTTCTTTTGAGGTGCATGGCCACTAGGGGTTTAACTGTTGCTTACTTAGCACTCAAGTGCATGAGTTTAATTTCATCCTCTCCCTTGAGTAATTGATAAATTTCAGGTTAACAAGTGCATGTCAGGTGATCAGAAACAAGCAACACATTTCTTTTTTCTCACTTTGCTCTCACATATTACTACTTTTCCACACCAAGAAGTCTTTTTACCAACTTCGAAGTTAATGCCCTGAACTTACAAACCCAACATTAACTGGAATTTTTCTTGGCGGCACCTGAGGCGGACAATATGAACCCGACTGCACCGCATGGGTGCCGTGATCAGCAATACACAGAAATTGCCTCTTTTGCCGAACAAGAACGCGACTCGTCTAGAACACGACAACTTCTTTTTTGCAAAATTGCAGATATTTGCACATAGCAGCAATCGGTGAGGTTGACCATGGATCTCCAGCTTGAAGTAGGTTACATACTGTGGTTTGTAGCTTCAACCCGATCCGAAACCATTCACGTTGTACGAATCAAGACTTTATAGTTTTCAATGGTTAGAACTGTTTAAGCTTCATGGTTATGTGTCACGGAATTAAGCGGCATTAATGTACATTTGATGATCTACAAAACCAAAAGAAAAGTGAGCCTTTTAAGTGAGAGTTACAAACTAAACCATGGAATGTTGTAAGTCCATTTTTAGACCACCTTTAGTCTCTTCATTCTTGGCAAAATACAGAGAGAATCTTTCCAACAATATCTCTTGAGAGAATTCAGTAATTGAACTAAAGAGCTAAAGTTTTTTTCTTCGTTGCATAATATCGTCCGCCTTGTGTGTGAATCCTTACCATACATCTTGTCCCTATTTTAAAGTTGAAGTAGAGTTGACTATGTTCGATAAACCAAAAAACCTTTGTAGTGTGTTCAGTTCTTTTAACGTACCAAGTGTAGAGTAAGTGTACGCAGATGGTGAGTTGGATAAATACATTCGTAGCTCTCGTCTATTGAATTTCCTAATTCGTTCTGCGGAAATTGATGCAAGAAAAAAGTAGAGTTGAATGATCTGCGGTTGTACGTTTGTGTAACCAAGTGCCCTGCATTGAGAAAAAAAAAATTTAGTTTCCTTCTTTTATTCTTTTTTTTTTTATTATATGGGGACTTCTCTCTTTTGACCTGAAATTTGTTTCAAGTGCAAATGTTCACACCCAAAAGATTCATATCGTCTACATTTATGGAATACAGGAACAGTTAGGTTTACGATGGAAATTTCAAGTTTGAGATGAAACAATCTTAAGTCAGCCTTAGAATACGCCTTGCTTTGCATATACACTACCTTTACGCACACGCGTCATTAAAATATTTATTTTCGCTCAGGTGTGCACCAATGTGTAACAATGAAAGCGGAAGATGAATCGATAGTATGCGACTGGCTGTAAACTTCGCACGAAAAGAGTGGATGCAGGAATTGGTGGAGAAAATTCCTTTCAAACAAGGTAAATAGATCATACCACACAAGCGGTTGTATCGTGTTTCACCACGTGAATTGTAGGTGACAATTTTACTTTTAAGAAGAGCTGCACTAACCTGAAATTAGCCAATGCTAGGCGAATAGTAACAATAATACACAAAAGCACTTGTGTACATACCGAGGGTCTCTCTCTCTCTCTCTCTCTCGACATGGAAACAATAGCAAAGCAACAGTCAGATTTTTGCAAAATTTCAGTATTGCACATAAGCCCATTACGTTTACCCATGCGCATGTACGCCTTGGTTTGCGTCTTTCCAAGTAAGCTCTAGTACATTGTGTTTCTAAGAGGAGTTGAAACTAGCAATCTACACAACTGCTCAGTAACCTAAATAAAATTTTTTTTTTTTCCCGATTGGTTTTGTACGATTTTACTTCTAGCGAGAGAAACTGAACCCTTGAATTATGCATGGTTATGAGAATTCCAAATTCAAACACCGTGTATGCGTGAGCTCTAGCCACAACAATTGCCCCCATGGCTACACTTGGACTTTGGAAACCAGGGTTGTGAACGTAACTACAAAAATAGAGGCTGCAATACCATGTAGCATTCTAAGACAAGGTTAATGGACGACAATGTTATTGCCAACGATGCGGCAGGTTTTAGTAAAGGGGGATAAAGGCACCCTTTCGCGTAATCTCATTTTCACCCGACAAGGGAAAGCACGCTATATGCACACCGACAATACTTTGCTAACTTCTTGTTAGCCAATTGTTTCTTCATATGCAAAACATTGTCCTCGTCTAAATGTTTTTGTTTTCCAACGCAAATCGTTGCTTAGAATTTTTACGTAACTTTTTTTATTTTTATTTTTTATTTTTTTTCTTCTTCCTTTCTTGAGGGTGTGAAGCTTTTTTCGGCTAAATGCAAAAGAATTTACTAAGGAGTGTAAAACGTTTCTTTAGTTAAAAGTAACAAGAACACACATAAAACCATTAGACGACTGAGAAAACAATAGACGATGCAGACAAGCAGAAAACAAAACTCAGGGTTTCGCGTCCACAACATCAACAACAACCTTGAACATGATTACAACCAGATACGATTGGTTTCAAGTAAATTTTTTTTTTGTATTGTTTTTCATAGCACGGTTACACTCTGCAACGATGAGATGATAACATGCACCGCCGAGTAAATGTCTTTATATCTTTACTAAGTTATGAAATGTTGATGGAAATAACATGGGTTTCCTATTGATGGGGGGAACCTGCTTGAGCCTCAGCTTCCCAAAGTTTGTGTTTTGCTTTCTAGAACTGTAAATCGACCAATTGCTGCGAGCAAGGTCGATCCTCTGTCCTGTTAAGGCATTCTCAAGTTCCTGTTGTTTTACACGGAAATGATGCTCAGAAAGAGAACCCAATCGTCTCCGCACATACAGCATGGAATATAATACGCCGTCTTGCTTTGTGTAGCCCCAATTCCCTGAAAAAGAAATTTTTTTTTTTATATTTTTTTTTTTGTTCCAACAAACGAAACAAAAAAAAAATAACCAATGGTTTCAATTTATACCAATTGAGTAATAAACCATCCGAATTCTGAAATGCACATTTTCCAAACAACATTGCCAATCCTCAAGAGCATAAACAATAGCTGAAAAAGGTAAACAGATAAACAAACAAACAAACAAACAAGCAAAGAAACCCGAGTACAACGAAGACGATGCATAGCGTTCTCACAAAGATTAGAACCCTGCATGAAGAGAGGCGCGAGGTAGTAAGGTAGTAAGGGTGCACGAATTTCACTGGCAACAATAGATCAATCCCCACGCCTGAGAGGTAAACTTGTCCACAATATGATAATGAAAGTATGTTGTGAATAATGTTGCTTCCATTGTGCTTATTGCCCAAGATTCTTTGTTCAAGAATTGTTGCCCACAATGTCGGCAAAGGTGGCACGAATTCAAGAAAGCTGCTGCGTCTAAAACTTCACTGCAACACGGAGTAAATTTGATCCGAATGGGGTCTAGAACAACTAAAAAACATATCAATCTATCACATGAAACGAGCATTCCAATCTAGAACAGGTCCCGTAACCTCAACCCTTGAAAATGTAACCATTGCTTTTTCGGAAATTGGTCTAATTTTGCACCATTACCACAAGCACAAGACTCCAACTACAAGGCGATATATTGCGGAGATTCGTAGTAAACAAAACCAATTTTGTGATTGTTGACGTAATAAGACGCCCATCGGGTATTTCGTGTGCCAGTTTCATCATTGCCTATTATGCTTAATTTGAAACAATAGCTACCGCGAGTTGCAAAAACTAAATTCCCACTATTGAAGAAGCACAATTTTGAGGATATGTGTTGTTGTTTTCTTGAATTTGCCTTATGATTTTACGAAAGTATTGTTCAAACGCGGTTGAGAAGGCAATGAATTGGTTGATTGTACAAAGAACTGTCCTCAGGTTTTGAAATATATAAAGCGGTGAATTGTTCACCAGTTTTAAGAGATTGAATTTTTCTAATTACTTCAATCACCATAAAAGGCTCTCCTTAATTATCCAATGAAGCTCACTACTACCAGCTTATTGTCGCTCGCTGCTTTTGTCTGTTCAACTCAAGCCACTTGGTGTTTGTTTGAAGATTTATTCAAGGACTTTGCACCTCATCATGTCAACCCAATTTGTGAGATAAAGGATATCTTATGTGACACCAATGATTCAAATAGTTCATCCGATTCCGACTCGGTCAACTTCAAGTCTGCTTTCGTTGTTAACAGTGCAGAAAAGAATGCTGATGGTACTTTTAACGTTGTTGCCAATTACGAAGCAGACCAATTTGACCAGTTGCATCAACACTTTGGTGGTAACATTGACCTGTTGTCTCTTACTGGTACTGGTTGCTCCGACGTTAAAATTTTTGGATCTGGTGCTTCAAACGCTGTTTCGAATGCTTTCAAGTGGTCCACAAAGTTCCAATGTAAGCCTGAATACAAGAATGGCAAGTGTTGTCTTCCTGAGGGGTTTACAATCGCATTCAAGTTTGTTGAAATTGGTCTTGCTTGGGAAGCATTGAAGTTGATTTTTGGTCACAATTACTGTATCTATGGTGTGATTGCTCACTGGAACTTCGTAAGTGTTTTTGACCCATGGACTTTGCTCCACCACGATTTGTCAGTGTTCAAAAGAGACGAAGTTGTTGATGGTGTTGATGGCTACTCCACTATTGATAAGAGAACCTTGGGATTCTTGCAAGATTTGTTGGGTCAAACTACTACTAAACACGCAGGTTTGAAACAATTCTGCTGGGAATGTGATTGTCCAAGTCCATCAAGCAGCTCTACTGCTCCGCCAAGTACTTCAAGCACTGAATCGTCTAGCTCAACTCCTCAGTCATCTACTCCAGCCACTGAATCATCTACTTCAGCTACTGAGTCATCTACTTCAGCTACTGAGTCATCTACTTCAGCTACTGAGTCATCTACTCCAGCTACTGAGTCATCTACTCCAGCCACTGAGTCATCTACTCCAGCCACTGAGTCATCTACTCCAGCCACTGAGTCATCTACTCCAGTCACTGAATCATCTACTTCAGCTACTGAGTCATCTACTCCAGCCACTGAATCGTCTTCTCCAGCCACTGAATCGTCTTCTCCAGCCACTGAGTCATCTACTTCAGCTACTGAATCATCTACTCCAGCTACTGAATCATCTACTCCAGCCACTGAATCGTCTACTCCAGCTACTGAGTCATCTACTCCAGCTACTGAGTCATCTACTCCAGCTACCGAGTCATCTACTCCAGCCACTGAATCGTCTACTCCAGCCACTGAGTCATCTACTCCAGGAAGTTCATCGTCCGCTCAAGCTACTGAATCGTCTTCTCCAGCCACTGAGTCATCTACTCCAGGAAGTTCATCGTCCGCTCAAGCTACTGAATCATCTACAATCGCTGAGTCTTCTCATACCATCCCAACTCATTCAACCACCACCGTGGTGATCACGTCGTGCTCAGAGAATAAATGTGAATCTTCCACTATCACTACTGGTGTCACTGTTGTTACCGAAGGAACTACCATTTATACTACTTACTGTCCTTTGACTGAAGAGAGCTCTTCGTCAGTCCCAACATCAAAAGGATCACCAGCTCCAGGAACTTTAACAACACCAACAGCTTCAGCTACTTCATCACCAGCTCCAGGTAGTCAACCAAGTACTGCATCATCTGCTCCAACTGGCCCACAAGGTACTGCATCAGTTGCTCCAGGTGGTCAACCAGGTACTGCATCAGTTGCTCCAGGTAGTCAACCAAGTACTGCATCATCTGCTCCAACTGGCCCACAAGGTACTGCATCAGTTGCTCCAGGTGGTCAACCAGGTACTGCATCAGTTGCTCCAGGTAGTCAACCAAGTACTGCATCATCTGCTCCAACTGGCCCACAAGGTACTGCATCAGTTGCTCCAGGTGGTCAACCAGGTACTGCATCAGTTGCTCCAGGTAGTCAACCAAGTACTGCATCATCTGCTCCAACTGGCCCACAAGGTACTGCATCAGTTGCTCCAGGTGGTCAACCAGGTACTGCATCAGTTGCTCCAGGTAGTCAACCAAGTACTGCATCATCTGCTCCAACTGGCCCACAAGGTACTGCATCAGTTGCTCCAGGTGGTCAACCAGGTACTGCATCAGTTGCTCCAGGTAGTCAACCAAGTACTGCATCATCTGCTCCAACTGGCCCACAAGGTACTGCATCAGTTGCTCCAGGTGGTCAACCAGGTACTGCATCAGTTGCTCCAGGTAGTCAACCAAGTACTGCATCATCTGCTCCAACTGGCCCACAAGGTACTGCATCAGTTGCTCCAGGTGGTCAACCAGGTACTGCATCAGTTGCTCCAGGTAGTCAACCAAGTACTGCATCATCTGCTCCAACTGGCCCACAAGGTGCTACATCAGTTGCACCAGGTAGTCAACCAGGTACTGCATCAGTTGCACCAGGTGGTCAACCAGGTACTGCATCAGTTGCACCAGGTGGTCAACCAGGTACTGCATCATCTGCTCCAGCTGGCCCACAAGGTACTGCATCAACAGCTGCTTCAGGACCAGCACATAATGGCGGATCTCAAAGTGTTGCAGGTCCATCTTCATCTGCTCCTCAAGTTTCACAAGCTCCTTCAGAGAGTGGAAACGGAAACACTGCTGCTGTATCTACATACGAGGGTGCTGGTGTAAAGAACTCCGTTGGTGCTCTTTTGATTGGTGCTGCTGTATTGTTGCTTTAATCGTGAGTTGATATTTGTCTTTCTACTTTCTGTTAATCAAAATTTATATACCCGGCAAAAAGTGGCTGTCTAGAGGATGGTCAGTGTGGCCCATATTTCTGTTACATAATAGCAATACTTTATTTCGGTTTCATCGTTAATACATATGTTCGGTATTAGAATTATTACCCTTCTAAGAATAGACTTCAAGATTAGGTAAGTTCTCTACATAAAGTAGAAAGATAATATAGACACTAACGGAATTAAATGTAAATCAATGCTCTTTCCTCTCGAACTTATTGGTACTTTTCAAACTCTAGCACAGATCCTTACATTCGCTTTGATGATGTTTTTGTTTGACACTTTGAAATTGTTTGCAACCAAAATTTCCACCTCCCAGATTCCCCTCCACAACGTCATAGCAAGGCATTGACATTAACAGATTGTCTTCAAATCCCATAAGAAGAAGCAAAGTGGGTCTATTGAAGCTCTACCAGCAACTGCATTGCTTCGTATTCCGTAGCAAAATCAATTTCATCTAAATGAGTTTGGGAAAATCAAGCCTCCCAAGAGAATCTAGAGAAGCATCCACAAGTGATAGAGAAGAATCAACTACAGTTCTTGATAATAGCTTATCAACTAAGGGAAATCCCAATTCAATGTATTCTGCTAAGTGGGGAAGCAAGTCTGGGTCTTCATCGTCGTCGTCGTCATCATCGTCGTCATCCTCTTCCTCACTTGTCTCAGCCTCAGCATCACCACCGAAAAGTAACCACCTCAACATTAAGAAGCCAGAAGTTCCAAGTTCAGAATATCAAGAAGAATATGGGAGAAGTTTTGTAAGGGGCCGTCCGTCTGCTTGTGTATTTGTTGCAAGTTTGAAATCCAACATGCTGGATGACGAGCTTTGTGTATCGGTGCATGACCATTTTAAACAATGGGGTCAGCTATCCACAGTCAAAGTCTTGAGAGATACAAAGAACAGACCCTACGCATTTGTTCAATACTTGAATGAGAAGGATTCAAAACTTGCTATTGAAGGAGGCCACAACTCGATGTTAGATGGAAGGAGAATTCGTTGCGAGGCTGCAAAAGTGAATAGAACAATATTCATGACTTCTCCACTTAGTTTATCGCTGGGAGCAGTCGAAGGAAAGTTATCGAAATTTGGCGAAATCGAGGAGTTAACCCCGAGTAATGCAGCGGGTCAATGCTATACAAACGCACCAAAGCTTAGGGGCTATAAGAATTGGTACTGCAGGTTTGCTTATCGTGATGACGCCATTCGAGCATATGCCAATCTTACCGAGGAAGGAGCTTACCAAGCAGAATGGGCTCAAAATGTTGAGAAGTCCAATGCTGTCAGCTTCAAGGAGGACACAAGTTTTGATTCCAACAGGGCAGTTGCAAACGGATCTCGTTTTGACAGATTTGCCGTTTTCGTTGGTCAGTTGAGTCCCAATATTACAGAAGCTGAGCTCAGAGAGAGATTTCAACGTCATGGCAAGATTAAAAGTCTCCACCTTTACAAAAGATTTGAGAATAATTTTGCATTTATTGCTTTCTTTGATGAGTCAAGCGCCGCTAGCTCGGTAGAGGTCGAGAATCATGCCATGCTTTGTGGCAAGACCATGCATGTTCAGTATCGAGAATTGCAAAATCATTGGAGAAATTCTAATGTACACCGTGTGCCACTTGCTCCACCACCTATACATGTTGGCAAGAAAGACAGAATTTACACTGCCCCTGTAAAACCAAGATTTACAGGTCGCTCTTCGAATGTACCAAGCAAATGTTACGCTAACAAGAAGCTCTCTATTTCCAACAAATGGCAAAATGAAGGCAACAAGACTGGTGTCAAAACTTCGTTTCGTCCTTGGCAAGCATCGCAATTGGAATTAAAGAGTGGTACAAAAGCTAATGAACGGGATACAGCTCCTAAACGGTTCATTCCTGGATCCGAGCAGTTTGAGAAAATTGGAGCAAAAGTTTGTTTAGAGAATCATACTCTCGAGAAGCGGGAAGAAAAGGCCAATGTCGTTGCTACATATCCGGCACCCCCCAGTACTGGTTTCCCATTGTTTTACTACGTTCCTGCAGAAAATGCGAGCTATCCACCTGGTAGTCGACTGGGCTCTTACTACAATGTTTATCCACCTTATTACGATGCAGTTCAACCACATTCCCAAATTGGGGGAGGCGCCATCGGTGCTCGTGCTGCTGCTGCTGTTGCTGCTGCTAGTGCTGTTGCTGATAGTTCGAGCGAATATACCCCTGCAATGCATCGTTCACCATCCTACGGAATTCCTAATTATGTTTACTATCCTAAAGAGGGTAGATCGGGAAGCAAGGAAAAGTTTGCCCAATAGAATTGCAGGATGAGCTCTGTAGCTATAGTTTGTTTTGGTTGTGTGTAAGTATCTATATTTCAAGTTTTTTTTTTTGCACTTGCCGCAAAGGGCGAATTTAAGGAAATTTGTAAAAAGTGGAATTACAAAGTGGTGGCCAACTTTCAAAAACGCAAGCCAGTCTTCAAACCAGCAACATCTACCCATACAACTATACCTACTCGAACGTACACAAATGAGTGTCTATTCAGAATTAGCACAATACCTAGATTCTAACCCACTGAAGGATCCCAAATCAACAGGAACTGACGCAGCGAAGGATATCTCCAGAAGAGTTGGTACATCAACACAAGGGTCTACTCGACAAGGAAATGATAGCCATGGCAAACTGGTTGCAGATCAGCTTTACGAATTACCAGCAATTGACCGCAAAATAAGTCATCTGAAGCCGTGGAAGACCGATAGCAAGTATTTCAACAAATGTAAGATTAGCGCGTTAGCGTTGATGAAGATGACAACACATGCACAAAGTGGAGGTTCGATTGAGATTATGGGGATGTTGGTTGGCAAGATTGTTGACAGGGCAATTGTTGTAATGGACACTTATAGATTGCCAGTTGAAGGAACTGAGACTCGAGTCAATGCTCAAGGAGAGGCATATGAGTACATGGTGCAGTATTTGGAATTGAATCAAAAGATTAGTGATGGAGTCAAGCCGAGACAAGAGAATATTGTGGGGTGGTATCATTCGCATCCTGGGTATGGGTGTTGGTTGAGTGGGATTGATGTGAGTACACAAGAGTTGAATCAGAATTTTCAAGATCCATATTTGGCGATTGTTGTTGATCCAGTTAGGACATTGAAGCTGGGGAAAGTTGATATCGGGGCATTTAGAACTTTGCCCGCTGGGTTTACTGAAGGGGGTGAAACAAATGATGGTGCTTCACGGGCCAGATTGCTGAATTTGCCCAAATCGAAACGAAAAGAGTTTGGTAGTCATGCCGGTCGGTATTATTCGTTGGAAGTGGAGACATTTGCAAATGAGAATGATGAAGAGATGTTGAAATTGATGAGAAGGCAGGATACGGATGATTATGATGGATGGATGAAGAAGTTGTCAGTTGATGATGCAGAAACGATAAAGGCGGTTCAGGAAGATTCAGCTCTTTCGTCTTTGCAATACTTGGATAACTTTGAGTTCATAGATGGCGGTGACGATATCGATTCTTTGAGAAATGTTGTTAAGAGATTGGAAGCCTTGAAATCGACGCCTGGCGAAGGTCCCGCCAGTTCATTTTTGAAAAAGATTATCAATGCCAACAAATCTGTGGTTGAGGGAAGTAAACTTAGGGGCATGTCAAGACACAGGCATGTGAGCTATGAGGATGAGGATGTTTTGGACGAGAGCGATTTGGAAAGGGTTTACACTGGCGAAGATAAGTTGGAGGATGAAACCGAGGGTGAGGATTGGGACGACGATGATGAGGATGTGGGAAATGACGCAGAGATGCAGGATGAACGTCAGCAAGCAGCACAGGGGGCGGCACAAGAGGTGGCACAAGAGAGTGCACAAGTGGCAGCACAGGATGTGGCCGAGGAGAATACGCAAGATGTGGCACGAGATGACATAGAAAATACCGATCTCAATGACAAACTAGAACAAGCAACTACTACTGTGACTAATGAACCACTTGAATTGAGAAGCGTGGAAACCGCAACACCTACAGTCTCCGGAGAAGCTGAATCATTGTATCAAGGTACGGACAAGCCTCCCTCTTCCAATCCACTATCCTCCCCCATCAAAAGATCATTTCGTAAAAAAATCCGTACAAGAAAAGATGATTTGAGCGATTTATTATTTGATCCATCTATAGCTGGTACTCATCACAAGTTGAAGCGTAAACAAAAACCCGTGTCACAACCACTAGGATTTACGCGGTACCCCGAGGAGTATACTCGACAAGTTGAACTTTTAGACTTGCATAGAAGAGTGCAACAACACCAACGCTGGGCACGTGATAGACTACCCGGTGACCAGCAGGGAAGGTATTCTATGCCACCATCAATGGCTTTGGATATGAGGGAGAAGAACAAGCTGGTGATTGAGGCATCAAGGGCTTTGGCTGCAAAGAATGTTTGTGATTTGATTACTATGGAGGCTATGGAGAGAAAGAAGAGGGAGGCGAAGGGGGAGGCGAAGGGGGAGGAGAGCTAGTGATTTAGGAAGGGATGAAAGTAGTTTGGTTTTATGGTATTATGCATACTGAGGGGGGGGGGGTCGGAGGGGGTATCTGTTTATTTGTAAGTTATGCCACATACACGTCTCTTGAACGGAAACGCAAAACAAAGAAAAAAGAAAATGCAACGTAGCTAAAATTGCGTGTGTGTGTTGTGTGTTGTGTGTACGTGTGCGTGTGTGCGTGTGTCTATCAATCTCATCACAGGAGACACACACATAACAAGAGAAAAAAAAAATTGCTTAACAATACACATGGATGCATGCATACAAAACCAAAGCAAAACCAAAGTCAGACAGAGAGGACACTTTTTGACTAAATACAGACTATCGGCAGCTACAGGAACAGTATACACCCTACCATCAATATCAAAGACCACTGAACTTATATCTAGACAAGACTGCCTCGCATTTACACTTTCAGCCACACAAACAGGGAGAAACACACGCATCATTGAAATTCTCGTTCTTACAAATTTTTTTCTTTTTTTCTTTTTTTTCTTTTTCTGTTGCGGATTTTGCATTCTAATCAAAGGCAGCTAGCACTTCTTGATACACACACACATATACATGTCTACTACAAGAACAACCTCCAGCATCACCACCACTAATCCCATACCATCGTCATCACTCACGGAATCAGCATCTTCACCACCACGAAAATCTTTGCTGAAAAAGAAAAACAAATCTAGTGCTACTTCAGCTCCATCAAATCCTATATTGGACCGGTACTTGACTACACCCATTTCTTTTTATCCGGCAAAACACCAAGAAAACTACTCATCGACCTCATCTCTGTTACCTGCGTCGTATATTGTCTTGTCGAAAAATAACGCGAGCACTAGTGATAAAAGAAAGGGTATGAAGAGGAAAGATTACAACGGGGATGCCACTGCGATACAATTCGAGAAGGATAAAAAGGAGAAAGTGGTGGGAGTGACACGGCCCAAATCACTAGCCGAGGCCGTTGCTTCATATAGTGGAAACAAGTATGAGTCGCCCAAACAGAAGAAGAGGAAACGGAAATTGGCAGAGCTTGAAAGACAAGAGCGTGAAAAAAAGAGGAATTTGGACTCAGATGACGCTGAGGAGGAAGATAATTTAGAGGCTGACAAGAATGATGGCGATGAGGGAGAGGAGGAGAGAGATGGAGAGGAGTTATTGGAGCAGCCACCAGCTAAAAAACCAAAGGGATTGTGGGGGTCACTTAAATCGCTTTTCGGTGGTGTTGCAAATGGTCATGAAGATGAAGATGTTGGCGAAGAAATTGTCGAGGGAGACGAAGCTAAACGATCTCCGTTCAATCCATTACGAAAAAAGGATTTTAATGAATCATCGTCGCCATCCACATCAGCCGACGAAGCATATGATGATAACTCGCCATTTACTGGATTCAGTGAACCAGAGAGAAGTGAAACTGGGGAGGAGGAAGAGGAAGAGGAAGAGGAAGATCCAGATTTTGACGACAAGGACGCAGAAGAAATAAGTGGAGAAAGTAATGGTAGTGACGAGAGTGACGATGATGAAGAAGATGTGAGCTATGAAGATAATGAAATGGAAGACAAAGAGTCTTCTCCAGAGGGTACTGCTTCGGCGGAGAGTGATGTTGGTGATGGCGAGTACGTTGATGAAGATAAGGATGTTGGCAAATTGAGACAAGACTTGAAGGTTGACCAATTAGTCAATGGACAGGGGAAAGTACACACAATTACAAGGAGGAGAAACGAGGAAGGTGAAGGAAAGGTGGATCTAGAGGAACAGGAAGAGCAAGAAGAGGAAGAGACAGAGGATGGTGGGGATGCATTAAAGTTTTTCAAGTCTAGTTCAACTCCACCTACTTCACCAGAGGATAGCGATGCACAAAAATGTTTGGTTCACGAGCAATATTATTCCATTAATGAGCTCCCATCAGATCGTGGGTCCAATGGGTCGAAACGTATATATAAAAACTGGCGTCAACTAGCCAATACCAAACCTCCCGTTGGGTTATTAAACCACGGGGTCACGTGTTATATGAATTCGGCCATCCAATCACTAGTACACATTCCTGCATTTCAACATTATCTCAATGATATATACGAGGGTAAAGTTGCCAATTTAAAGCCGCGATCAGTTAGTCAAGTGTTGGCTGAACTTTCCAAGAGAATGTGGAGCCCCAACAAACCCACTGCCAAATATATCAACCCAAAGAAGATTATTCAGCGATTGGATGATATCAATTGTATGATGAGCGAGTGGCAACAAGAAGACAGTCATGAGTATTATATGAGTTTAATGTCTCGATTGCAAGAGGATAGTGTACCCAAGGGTCATAAATTGAATGAGTCTATAATATATGACATTTTCGGAGGGTTATTACACCAAAAGATTACGTGTCAACAATGTCACAATGTTTCATCCACAAAGCAAGAGTTTTATGATTTGTCGTTGGGGTTGAATCGGAAAAAATATCAAAATAGTTGTCGATTCACCATTGAAAAATCAATCAATGAGTTCTTTAGTGATGAAGTAATACGGAAAAATGAATCAGATTCCAAACTGGGTTATTATTGTGAACAATGTCGTGATTTTACCCAGGCAAATAAGATATCATCAATTATAACTGCGCCGGAAACATTGACTATTCATTTGAAACGGTTCAAGTTCAATGGAAATTCCCTGAGTAAAGTGAAGCAAGGAATAAGTTACTCCAAGTATCTTGATTTAACCAAATACATGGATCAAGAGCTGGAATCAGAAAGAGACGCCAGGGGAGAAGGAGCCAAAGCAAACAAAAGCATAAGATCCTCTCCCTCCTCGGCAAAGTATCAATTAATTGCAGTTATCGTACATGAAGGAAGATCGATATCAAGTGGTCATTATATTTGTCATGTGTTGCAACCAGATGGTGTGAGCTGGAGTACTTATGATGATGAATATATCAATAGAATTGACGAAAGAAGGGCCCTTCTGGATGCAAATGCGTATGTGTTGGTGTATACAAAGTTGACGCCAAAAGTAGATGTATAGAGAGGTGTAAAGAGGAAAGATGATAATAGAATAGAATTAGCATATTACTACAAAAAAAAAATAGCGGATACCTGTAAAGAGGGAAGAAGAAGAAGAAGAAAGAAAGAAATTAATGCTAATTTGAATAAGCAAGGATCTCTTTAGTGATAGCAACTCTATATGAGACTGTGGTTTAGCAATAGATAGGAGATAAGGAGAAGAGGGAAAAAAACAGGAACAGGATTTTTTTTCTGTCTGAGATAAAAGACAAGAGAGAAAATTTTTTGTCTGTTGTTTATCTCTCCATTCTGTGTCGCGTGTCTTTGTCGTGTCTTATCGTATTTTTCCAGTTAAACTTCCGAAACTGGTAGTGTAATTGCAAAAAGTGGAAGGATTCCGGCTAATCCTCGGAGTTTCGAAATCCAAATGAGTTATAGTGAATCTATACCGGGAACTGATGTAATTTTAAAGTCGGGTCATACGTGACTTGTGCTCGAAAATGGGCTAAACGCTTTCTTATCCGGCGGGGAGGATTTGAGAAAATATCGTGACGTCTTCAATTACGTGACTGAGGAAAAAAATATGTAAAGGCTAAATGTTAGAGAGGGAAGTTCTCCATTTCCGTGTTTTTGAAGTCTTTTTATAAAATGACTCTTTTATCGGGAAGGAAAACCCTTTTTTATTGGATACATTTACTTTTCAAGCTAACCATTTCTTATTCCGTATGACCCTTCTTTTTGTTGGCACTTGATATAGTACTGCATATTTTGCACGATAAGAGCGGTACTTTTAGTTTTTTTTTTTCTGTCTGTGTGTCTGTCTGTCTGTGTGTCTGTCTGGGGGTTGTGCGTGATTTAAATTGCATTAAGTGTGTGTATCTAGTGGTTTAATTGTCTTATGTAGTAGTAGTAGTAGTAGTAGTAGTAGTCATAATTTATACGTATACGAACGGGTGCGGAAAAGAAAAAAACCACGGAGACAGATAAAACTTGCAGACAGACAGAGAGAGAAACCGACAGACAGAGACACAGATAGTGGATTTTTGTATGGATTGCCACTGAAGTTAAGTTAAGTTCAGTTGAATTGATAGCGTATTACGTCTACGCTTATACGAAGTTAAAAAGTGTATGATTTGAGTTAGTAAGTCAGTCAGTCAGATACTCCTATTTAGACTTTGAAACGATTACATAGAGAGAGAGAAGTATGGTTACATTTGCAAAGAGAGTGAGACGATAGATCAAGTAAGAAAAAGAGAGGAGGGGTAGGTGTTGAAAGGAGTAGCAAGTGGAGCTTTGATACAGACTTAGCCATCAAACTTACGGAGTAGTACTAACAAGTTATCATCAGCTATTCTTTCTCTAAATTTAAAGAAAATATTTAGTGTCTGAGAAACAGATTTGGTTAACAATAATAATAGTAATAATAATAATAATAATAATAATAATACTTTAACTAAGTGACTATATATATATATATCTTACTGGAAACCACATTTTTTTAAATCAGCAACCTTTAAACACCACACACACACACACACACACACACACACACACTGATTCACACACAGCCTCAATTACACCACGCTATATTTGACTAGGTAGAGCAGTCAACACTGAGCTGTTAATCCGCTTGCAAGCACACTCCAGTGTCTTTGCTCAACTCTCTACTATAGTTCTAGTCACACCCACACGTTACGAAACCTGTAACAAGGTCACCGCCTCCACAGATCACTACACACTCCACCTTCCACCCGTTTGGCTGGCCACACACATACACGCGTTATCTTTGTTTTCAATTCTAACTATCACGTTCCATCCCCCTTTTTGTTTTATTGAGCACCCCGCACCCCTTTCTCCAAACTAGAGATGGGACTAAAGTATACCAACTACTTTGACAATTCACAATACAGTTCCCCAGATACTCATATTCTCACTTGCAAAGGATGCTCAAGTCACCTTTGTCTTTCGAATTTAGTCCTTTCCGATAACTTTAACGGTAGTAGTGGTCCTGCCTTTTTGGTTGAAGACTTAATCAATATTGATATCAGTCCCGTGACTGAAGATACCTCAATGAGAACTGGTCTTTACAAGATTAACAAGGTTAAATGCCAACAATGCAAAAAGATTGTTGGCTGGAGATATAAGAAGTCTTATAGTTATAGTGAAAGCTACAAGGAAGGGAAATTTGTTATTGAGAAGAGTTATATAAATATGTCTAAATGAATTATTATGAGTTAATTTTAATTAGAATGGATGTGGTGGTGTAACTTATCTGCCAGCTTTGCCAGAAAATACATCAATTTACGTTTTTTTTTTTTTTTCTTTTTTTTTGCAACCTAAGCAGTGTATCCACACTGTTCATGTAGAACACAGATATTGATATCTCTGTACTTCGCTAGTGACGACCGTCATCTACTTTGGTGCAATGCAAATTCTTCACTTTTGAATTGTAACTCCTTCTGCTCTATTTACAGTATAATGCTAATCACATCCGTACCTCCAGCTACCACTTATACCACGGTCTCACCTTTATATTCAAAGGCTCGTTATTCAAATACATTTTAGGCTTACTCTCTATCTCACGTTGTTGCTTCTCCCACTGCAATCGCTGCTTAGTCTGACCCGTTTTCAAAACACACTTTAAATGGATATACCGGTGACGAATCACACCATGTCTACCTCTCCCCTTAATATCCAATCTTTTCCTCCATTCTCCATCACTACCAGTCCACAATCTAGCAATGTACATTGCATTCTCATCATATCCCAATTCTTGCAGCTTGGACAAACCTCGTTTCAATAACTTTTCCAATTCAGTAGCCATCTTCTTTGGGTTGAAATGTAATTGATTAATGGCGGTTTTCAAGTCGTACCCACGCACAAACCTGTTTACTACTGTTGCTTTCTTCATAGACGACTTGATACGATATGATTGAAGATAGATTGATGGTTCCAAAAGTTCAATTTCTTCAGGGGTCAAGTGGAACTTGTAAGTTTTACCTTCATGGCGAACCACTTGATCATTCTTGAAAAATCCATGCTGTGATACATTTTGATTAAAGAGTTTGATTTTCAAAGGATGGACCAAATCTTCCAATTTAGGTTGGTGTTTGGCACTAGTTTGTTGTTGTTTGTTCTTGTAATATTCAATCAACTGTTCATCATTCTGTGGAGTGATTGAGCTTATGTCAACTTCACCTTCTTCGTTTCTGGCTATTTCACTAGCTCCGTCCTTTTGCTGTTTCTTTTCCACTTCTTCAATCGGATTAGTGGTTAATTTGCCAAATGGAGATGAACTGTTGAAACGAAGCGGTGGTGTCATTGACACCACTGTGGATGGTAATCTTGACCGTGGTATGCTTAGCCTCAAGAGAGGGCTTCTCGTTAGCATAGACCACCTATTCATCATGTACAGGGGACAATCTTGGACTAGGAGGAATCTATGATACTGGTTGAAAATTTTTAAGGGAATCAAGAATTTTTCTTTTTTTTTTTTTTTGATTTTTTTTTTTTACTTCATGACATTTGGTTTTGACGTTCATATTGTTACGCCAATGTAGCTGGACATAAGCGATGTCACAGTACAACAATCTATAAGTTGCCTAAAAATAGACTCACCACTGCAACTGAGAGTCCTAATGCAGTCTCGACACAGGTACCATGTTTAGAGACAAGATACAACATCGTGTATAAGGAAAACTGTAGAAGAATTCGCTCACAAGATAGTACATACAAAAGCACGAATCGGCTTACCCTACTCTAATCGATCCACGATATAGCCATTTAAAAACTTTGTATTAAAGTATATAACTGACGTCAGCAATATCATCGTTAAAACGTCATTTACCAATCGATCCACTGTGTAGCTTTGTCCATCCTGCCTCGATGATATTTCCTTCCCCCCCCCCTACTTCGTATCTCTATTCCTACCCTAATCATCATACCCTTTCAAATTCACATCCCTGGGCCTATTAGGTACAGGGTAAACCAAAGGAATAGGTTCATGGTCAGCATATAAATACTTTCTTCTCAATGGGGTAGCTAATAATAGCACTGGAGCTGCAACTCCCATTGCCACTGATACGAAAAGGGCTGGGTTAACATGTGCGTGATATCTGAGCCACTAGATGTTTCAAAAAAGTTAGTATTTTTCTTCCTGTGGTGGAGTTTGGTTTGGGTTAGGGTTTGGGTTTGGCTATAAATGCACTTGGAAGAGTAAGGGACTCTTGAGTTCGCTATTCAACTTATGAAAAGTTCATTTCTTATGAATAGACGTTCCACTAGCTAATCTTTGGTGCAGAGACTCGCAATGGTCTTTTGTTGGTGGCCTCAATGGCTTCAATGAATATAGCCAAACCAATTCTTTGTGCCTCAAGTATTCCCGTACTAACTCAAACTCTTCCATGTGTTGTCCTTCTTACATACTCTTACTGGCTGCTTGAAATATATTGGTTTATCTCCCCACACTTTATCTGACATGTTGTGCGTAGTTGCCCTATGTTTTCAGTATGAACTCAATCTCAATGCGTAATGAAATTTTTGGTGAAAGTTATTGGACGGAACAGAAAAAGAAAAAACAAAAAAAAAAATACAGGTGAAATAAAAAAAATTGGTAGCATCACACGACCTACAACTATATACTCCCCATACAAGGAATTAAGAGCTATTTTGGTTATGACTTCCTCTTCTTGACAGTGGTCTTCTTCTTTTTACCCTTGGTGTCAATAGCAGTTCCGTCCTTGTCGGCAATTACTTCAACATTTGCACCTTGATCACCGGCAATAATATCCTCTTCTTGCTTAGCTTGACGTTCAGCAGCCAATGCAGCTTCTCTAGCTTCATTTTCATAAAACTCCTTCTTCAATTGCTCATCATACCATTGGGCATAATACAACCCACCTTGCAAAACCAAAACCCCAACAAGAACCAAGATTATCATAACTTGCGAAGCTGCAATCACGTTAATCCCAGTGGCTGAATCGACTTCGCCCCATTCACCAGTGACGGCAGCATTGATCCCAGTTCTCAAATTGGTCAAGTATATAACGATTGCAATCATGAATAACCCCAATGACCCATACTCGAAATATTTAGCATCTTCATCAGGTTTGTAAAGCTTGATGAAATGGCCAATAAGACCCACGAGCCCAACTGCATGTAGAGTGTAGTGGATGTACATTGGAGCGTTGGCCCATGTTTGGTAATGGACTAGCGACTTACTGAATGCGTTGGGGTCAGTGGCGCGCCATAATGTGTTGATATCATATGGCCAGTTTCCGTAGATTGCACCAAGACCAAATGATGTGGCGGCTATGATTAAAACAGTACCAATTGGTACAATATCCTTGTATTTCATCATACTGAAAGGGTTGAGTTCGATTGATGGTTAGTTATGTTTGGAGTAAGCCGTTTATCACACATCACAATGTAGATTTTATTTTTTTGTCTTTTTTTTTTTTTGCCTTTTTTTGTTTCCTCCGTCGCTGCACTAGCTCGGATACATACACAAAAGTGTTAGTCAGATCATTTTATCCAGCAAATCCGAACTGAATCCGGCTGCAACACCACCCACCCTCACACAAGATTATGCCGCTACAAATTGTTATTGTTGGTGCTGGAATTCTTGGCCTAACGACTGCCCTTACATTGAGTGAAAAATTGACAGACGAGCATGAGATTTACGTTATTGCAGAGTATGGCCCCCATGATCCAAGATTAAACACAACAATGTCCAATTTCCACGAATATACGTCACCTTGGGCTGGAGCCCACTTCCGGCCATTCCCTAGTGCTAATGAGCAAGACAAGAAAGAAATGAAGATGACGAGGGATACATTGAGGTATTTCACTGAACTTGCAGCTTCCCACCCGGAAAGCTCAATCAAATTTGTTGATGGCATAGAGTATTTGCAAAATGCAAACGATTTGTACAAGACAGTGTCGTATGGGTACAGTGAAGGGATAAACAACTTTGCAAAGACTGGCCAAGAAGGGTTTGTGGGATTCAAGTACGATACCTGGGTGCTCAACCCCATCTTGTACTTGCAATTCATATACCGCAAATTGGTTGTCAGCGATGTAATGTTTATACACAAGAAATTAAACAGTTTGCGAGAGATTTCCACCATGTTTAAATCACCTGTCATTATCAATTGCTCAGGAATGGGGCTACAATACAATGGCGGTTACGATACTCAATGCTTCCCTATTCGTGGCCAAACTTTATTGGTTAAACCGCCACGATCATTCAAATTGGATACAACAATTACTTATCAGTTGGAAGACGGGTCTTGGGTCTTCATCATTGCAAGACCTTTCAATGGTGGCGTGATCCTTGGAGGAACCAAGCAGTTGAACGATACCTACCTTGGTGTCCGCGAAGAAGACACAAGGCATTTGCTCAATTTGGGAAGGAGATATTTCCCTGATTTACAAAAATCTGATGTACTTACTGGTAAATCCTACTTTGATATCGAAAGAATCAATGTTGGTTTGCGTCCTGCAAGAGTTGGTGGGTTGAACACATCAGTCGAGTTTCACGATGGACACCCAGTGATCAACAACTATGGTGCCGGTGGCATGGGCTATGAGTTAAGCTACGGTGCTAGTTTACAAGTGTATAAAAACTTGGTCTCTGTATTGAATAAATCTAAGCTCTAGTTTACGTTTTATGCAAATGAATAATCACCACTCACCCAACGATTGACCATGTCTAACGCATTTGCAGGCTGGTCTAATGGAACCATATGACCAGATTCAAATACTCGTAAGTACGTAAAGTGCTTATAATTCTTGACCTCACCTGCATTGTGACCGTCCTTTGTGACCCACGGGGTAAACTTTGTCGCATTGAATAGTTCATGGTCCGAGTAAGGCAACTCATTGACCCACGCCAAGTTTCCCAACCAATCACAAACTAAATCCTTATCACCAGCATAAATCAAAACAGGAATGTCTTTCTCCAATAATTCAGTAATGTATTGTTGGTATGGCATATTGTGATCAGTTAAAAAGTTTGCTCCAACCTCTCCATTACAAGCGGTGAAGTTCTTCTCCACCCCCAATGCCTTTTGCACCTCTGGTATGTTGAAATATTCAGTAAGATCATTGATTTGAGAGTAGCATAAAGGACTCTCACCGCATTTAACTCTGGAGTCATACGGGTTCAAATCTCCACTATCTGGCTTATTAGGAGTGGCCAATAAGGAAACAAAACAAGTGACTGGATTCGGATGAGCATAACAAAGCAAACCAAATGGAACAAAGCGATTGTAATACGTGTCGTACGCCTCGCATTCTTCATCTGTGTAAATCTGTCCAATTCCACCCGCGCCACATCCCATATTGGCAACCTCACGGTACTGGTTCAATACATCGGTTATACCATTACCAATCAACACCGATTTGAGAGGTAGTTTTGCCTCAACAACACTTGCTGCAAATTTGGGGATGTAATGACCGGCATACGATTCCCCAGCAATGTGAAAGTCTAAATCTGCATACTGAGGATACTTTTGGCGAAACAATGCCACAAAATTGGTGAAATCAACGGCCGCCTGTTCGGTTGTAAATGGTATGGAACCACCAGTACTAAATCCAACTTGTGCTGGTTGGTCCAAAAACACCACTGTCGCGTTCGAATTCCACGAGTAAGGATTGAACTCGGGTACTATTGAGGCGTTGACCAATGAAGGTCCCAATTCCAAAGCAAGTCCAATGTTTGACGAGCATCCAGGTCCTCCCAGCAACCACAAAATGACAGGATCCTCTGCAGGGTTGTTTCTTGACTCAAATAGCCAGTAAAAGTATTCTTTGCCTGCTTCTTCGACACTAAAGTAACCGGAATATTGCTTGACGGAATCAAATCCCAACAACTCTGGCGTGGAAGTTGATGTCAAATCATACGTTAAGTCGTGTTTAGGTGGAGTAAAGTGAGTCTTGAATTGCGAGTACATGGACAAAAGCTTAGCCTCACCAAATTTGACCCTGTTTCTATTCCACTCACGTCGCAAGTTGTATCCTTGTTCAAGTGTCAAGGCACTGATATCAATGTCACCAAAGGGGAAAGCGTCATTAGCTTGGGAAATTTCGAATGGAACTTGTGCTGCTGAAGCAATTGCAAGCAGTGCTGCAAAGTAAGCGAACTTCATTGGGGGGGGAGGCAGATGTAGCGGTGTTTGTCTTTTCTAAAAAAAAAAAAAACTGAGAGGAAATTGCGGCCTCTTTATCAAGTGGGTTTTCGCCTTGGTTCTGCTTAAATCCGGTGACCTTTACCTTGACGGTTTTATATCCTAATCTGGAAGGGAAACACGCTTTTATACGAGAGTCTATACTCAGTACAAACAATGGGGTCTTACAAAAGTGAAGGATGCCGGTAAGAACTGTGCAATTACAAACCTTCAATTAGCTCCTACCTAAGTAAACGGCGTTCTCTAAACCATTACTGCTCAAGGTTAAAGTTTTCCACGCATTGATGCGGCACGAAAACACACAGAAACGGAGATAAGCAAATTAAGCCTAGAGCGCAAAAAAGCACTACACGCTCGTCAACCCATAATCCCCTTGAATCCAGCGATTGACCAAATCCAACGAGTTTTCAGGCTGGTCAAAAGGTACCATGTGCCCAGCATCGTATACTCTGACAAAGGTCAACTTGTCAAAGTTTTTCACCTTGCCAGCAGCATTGCCACTTTTTGTCACCCAAGTCCGCAACTGCTGTCCTTCAAAGTTCTTGTAGTTTAGCTTATCACAGACTTCCAACAACCCAACCCAACCGCACACAAAATCCTTGTCTCCTGCGTAAATGAGCACTGGGATATCTTCCTTCAACAAGTCTTGAAGATATTGTTGAGATGGCCGCATATTGTCTCCATAAATTTCAAATGGAAATGCGACTGAATCTTTACACATCTGAAATTCTATTTCAGCGGAGACTCCAAGGGCCAGTTTCACTCTTTCAAGGTTCAAGTATTTATCAATTGGCTGAGACTCGACGTAGCAATCAGACGTACCAGAAACACACTCTTTTCTAATGTCGTAGGGGTTTAGTCCAAGTTGTGAAAATGGTGCACCCACCTCCTTTCCTAACTGTCTAGCATAGACGCAAGACACAAGCTCGCCATAATTGTAACACAATTCATCATATTGTTTAAACCGTTGGTATTTTTCCAACATACCTTCGCACACCAGTTCATTAAGGAGTCTTTTGTAGCCACCTTCACCACATGCCATCGGTATGTAAGCTCCAATCTGTACCAATGGGTCAATGATTCCATTCCCGATTAGCACTGAGCTGACATTGAACGTCTTTGTCCATTTATTTTTCTTGAATGTGTTTAACAAGTTGGGGATGTAATGACCAGAATATGATTCACCCGCTATATGGAATGGAACTTTTCTAAATTGTGGGAATCGATCAAAAAAGAATTCAATGAAAATGTAGATCAGCTGAGTGGCAGTGTCGGTGTTTAGAGCAGGCACTCCTCCATAAGAGAACCCCGTCATCGTTGGTTGATCCAAGAAAATAATGGAGGCATTTGAATTCCAAGACCATGGGTTGTGAACAGGCTCAAGGTTAACGCTGATTGAGCTGGGACCCAATTCGAAAAATAACCCATAGCTAGACGAGCAACCGGGCCCACCCGTGAGCCACAAAATTAATGGATCATTTACTGGGTCATGTCTGCTCTCAAAGAACCAGTAAAATAAGTTTTGCTGAGTCAAGTGACACTTGAAATAACCGGCATATTGTCCAATTGACGGCGAGTCCAATTCCAATGAAGCAATCAGTTTAGTGAAGAGGGTGTAGGACGGGTACTCTCTAATGCTATGTGAGGTGGTCACACCATCAAGCACAGTCTGGAATGAGGCAACAATGGCTATGAAAAAAAACGATAGTATAACAGCATTCATCATGGAGCTGTACAGGGGAAGTTAGCATGAAGTCGGCTAATAATTGGACTCATCTTTTTTTGCCGTAACAAACTACGAAAATGAAAAATAAAAAAGTATCTGTACACTATTTTTCATTCACTCTATAAATAAAACTTTCTCTTATCTCTCTCCATATCAGGTCTGAACTCCCAAACGACGTCACCCTTTATTCCCTTTTGCATTCTTCGCAACTTGAGAGTGAACTGGGGCCCCAATTCCTGTAATCCAACCTTTTCCTCATTTCTGAAAACATATCGGTGTCTCCTCAAGAATATGTAGTCACGTTGATTATGCAATGTTATCACTTGTCTTCCTTGTAATTCGGGTTTATGTGGGAAAATCGATTGAAATAAACGTCCAACAGTTTTACCTAATCGAGTATTGAAGTTGTTGAGAACAAGCTCAGGTATATGGTCAGTGGCTACACCATGGCCTTTTATTCTTTTGCCGTCAACTATCGAACTTATGGAGAAGTAGAATGTAGGGCCTTCTGGTAAGTTGATTAGTGTTAAACCCGTTACTTTTTTCTTGTCCTCGTTTATGACAGCCAACAAAGTGTATTCTCTATTGGAGCTGAACTTGGCCATGTCTTGGATAGTAAACTCCTTCTTACGTTTGACAAATGTGGTATTGGGGAGAAAGTCCATCAACATGTCGGCAAATTCATAAGCTGGTTTTTTAGCACCAATATTTGTAGTGAGAAGAATCTTAGGGTCTTTTGATAAATTGGTGAAATATTCACTAAATTCGTCCTCATCTCCTTCGATATTAGCAGACAATGTCTCATCGTAAACTCGCTTTGACTCGATTGTAGCTGGGATGTTCTCTGCTATTCTTTGTTCACGCAATTCAGGGTTATTACGTTCCTCATCAGCTCTTTCTGCTCGTAACTTGTGACGATCTTTGACCTTTTGTCTTTTGATATCGGCATAGACTTGCTGTCTCCGCTGTTTGTTCTTTATCCTTTTCAAAGCTTCACTAGTGTTACTCATACTGGAATGGTTTTGTTCTAGGTAATGAACTCTAGAGAGATGAGATGCTTCAAGGAAGAGAAGAGACAGAAAAAAAAAATCACACACACACACACACACACTCACAAAAAACAAAAAAGTAATTTTGTGGTAGCGTCTTGATTTACGAACATTTCTGGACGTAACCACCACTACCACACACAGCACAAACATGCCAACAAACATGATTGCAAGAGAGTGCTTAACGCAATGGGCCAACACCATTAAGCCGAAGAAATTCACAATCCCGGACTCCTATTCAGTTGGTCCCATTACGAACTTGACCAACTTGCTCAATGGAGTATTCAAAACCAAATCCCCACTGGAACAATCGGCATCAAATTCGATCCCCCAACTGTCTTGGTTCAGGGGATACCACTTTATTTTTAGTTGCCAGCAGAATCAACAAATTGGAAGTGACGGGTACGATAATTACCAAGCGCCCCTTGGTGACAACCATCATCAATTGTACTTGAGACGATTATGGGCTAGAGGGTCAATACAGTTTATCCAGCCACCAAAGATCAACAGTGCATTAACCTGTACTGAACAAGTACAGAAAGTTAAACCGTACAATGACGATGTATTTGTTGACATTGATCGTAAATTTACTTCGGACGAAGGGGAGCTATTGTTGGTTGAGAGTAGGACCATGTTGTACACAAATCAATTGTATACACTGAATAAGTCTCCCAAGTTGACGGAAAATGAACCTAAAGTCACTGTCAAAATTTCACCAATTGATTTACTAAAGTACAGTATGCTCACGTACAATTTGCATCGCATCCATTTCGACCCCAAGTACGCCCATTCCGTTGAAAATTTGCCGACATTACTCGTTCATGGTCCGTTTCAAGTGACGTTGATTTTATACTATTTCGGTTTGCAATATCCCGATTTGATTGTGCAGCAGCTCAAATATAGAACTTATGAGCCGTTTTTCGTTAATGATGAAGCAGGGATACTGATTGTTGCTAAAGGATCGAATGAGTTTCAATTGACTTTGTTCAGTGCTGAGCAAAAGATCATCTACTTACAGGGTACATTGAAATGCAAGTAGAAGTGATGTACGTGTACGTGGTTGGCGTAAAATTTTGATCTATACATCTAATGTAGCTCTCACCTTACCAATACAATAATCAAGATACTCCTTCTTATACCCTTCATGATTCAATTGCACATCACCCAGCAACTCACTGATAATCTCTTCATTTCCACCCACGATCACCATCCCATACGGCATTGACGTCAAGTCAGGCATCGGCTCAACCAACTTCTCATCAAAAATAAGGCTAGTGATATTGTTTGCAACTTGACGGCCCATGTACATTGCCCAACCAGCAGATTTGATAATGGCAAAATTCACCAAGTCCCCAACAACAAAGAAATTGGGATGAGAAAGTTGTGTTGCTGGGTCAGTCAATTGCAAATATTCATTGGTGTTGACCTGTCCATTGACAATGTGTTTTTGCAACTGTGGTGTCAAGAAAGATGTATTGTTGTGTTTGGAGCAGCAATGAAAATTCAATTCTGACTCAATGACTTTTTGAGTTGTAGTGAGCAAGTTGTTGTTATCCAAAACTTTCTCAATTCGGGTGTTTAAGTAGATATTCACACCTGCTCGTTCAATTGAATCTTGGACCATGGTCTTGAACTCCAAGCTTAATGGCTCTGGTGGGAAATGTTCATGCGGATGGACCAAGTTGACTGTTTTGCCGGGATATGCCGTTTTGATATCACCAGCAATCTCAGTTCCAACGGCACCAGCACCAATTATTGACACTGTGTTGGCTTTGTCTATTGAATCTTTGGCTTTGGTGACCTCGTCAATAAATTGTTGTTGCGTTGTTGCGTGTGGTGTTGTTGGCCAGTTACGATCCCTTCCACTTGCCATAACGACGTAGTCAAAATCAATTTTAGCAACACCTGATGTTGAGCTGTGTAAAGTATACTCAGCCGACTGAGAGCCTAATGACGTTATGCGACCATGTATGAAATTCAACTGCACCTTGTCATCGTCGTTAAACCAAGAGGAATCGTAACGCAGCTCACTATCGTCTTCGGATATTATAGAATGAAACCGTAAATGGTCCAATTTATTGAACGGAATATATTGTGTTTGGGCAAATTGCGGACTTACAATTGATCGCGAAATACCCAAAATGTTCAACAAGCCATCTTTAGGTTCCACCAAGGTTACGCTAATTTTGCTACCGTTGCTGGGTATACGAGATGATAAGTTTATCTGAAGTGCACGTAATGCAGCAATTCCAGCATATGCTCCGCCAACAATCAACACATTGGTCTTTAGGGGGATTGCCGAGTGACTTCGTTGCGGCAAATTTGTCATTGGCACCATCAACTGAGTGTACGATTTTGCTGCAGGAACTATAGTCTTGATACCAGATTTGATACTTGCCATCTCTGGTATTTCGTCTTGCTCTGTCATTTTGCCAAGCTCAATTTCCCGTGATCCTCTGTATCTCTTTATATACTTTTCATGAATATAAACGAGAAAAAATTTTTTGTTTTTTTTTTTTATCTATTTCATCAATTTTATCTGATTCAACAATGTACTGTTGCATGGGTGTGGAAATAGTCCCTTCGGATCTTTGAAAATGTTTTGTATGCAGTATTCGGTACGCGATTTCCAAATACATGATCATTTACGATATTTTGACAAATGCATCTTTTTCGGTTAATGTTTAGACAACAGTAGCACCAAAGCCGAGATTCGGACAGTAGTCATGCCGGTAACACCATATTGGTGCTCACTCTACACAGGCACTTATCAATCACTTCCTAAAACTGTTTCATTATTACCTGCTATACAAAAACAAAAAATGAAGGGGCTTGCCACCTCTCTCACTCTGTAAACTTGAACACGAATGAGACAAAGGTTGCCAAAAACAAAAACAAACAAATCATATTAGGTCCAAACTTGTCACCATACTGCACAGGTTTCTTCTCTCTGATCATCAACACACGCCAGATGTATCTGTATGTGGCATATCCCAAAGTGAACAACGCAGTGATAAAGAATCCAATACTGGCAGTCAATGCACTATTAGTTCCGTAATTCAACAATGTAGTAGCTGTGAATCCCATCAACATACCAATACTGATCCAACTGAGGAATGTACGCTCGTTTGCGAAATACACTTTTGGTTCAATTCTAACTGGAACACAAATTGTCTTTCCTTCTGGCAACTTGTCCTTGAATGTAGCATTCAAGTCGAAATTTGTACCCGGTTTAACGGTAAATGTACGATCGTCATTGAAGAAGTGCAAGAATTTTCCGTACATATGGTAGATGAAGTTCTTGACTGGTGAGTTGGTTTGACGAGAGCTGTAGTTGCTAGGAAGCAAAAGTGGGGTTTGTTCATCCAAGTCTTCTTCCAATGGATTAATATCGTTTGAGAAATGGACTCCAGTGTAAGATGACCCGGTCAATTCTTCCTCATCCAAATCGTTACCACTAGTGCTAGATCCTAATCTCTGCTGGTGCGGCTGACCTTGATGACGTTGGATACCGTATTCCTGAACGATTTTTGGCTTTCTAATATCAACATCCATTTGAGTGTACCAAAATGGTAAAAGATCAACCATTTCAGTCAACAAAGTTGCTCCACCGTGAATAAACTTGGAAAATTTGGGAACAGCCTCAACCAAGTGAGAATTTACCAAATCTCTGACCCATGCTGGTGGTTCCTGACCCATTTGAGTTTGCAACTTCACTTCCAACACAGCGTATTGGAATCTACAAACATCCTTGTCTGGTAGTTGAGGGAAGGGATAATCGACACCAATATCCATTCTTCTCCAGTTTCCATGAGTACGATCAAATCCGTCGAAATCATCTTCTCTAACCATTGTCAATTCGGTGTCCAATGAGATTCTGACTCTTGCATCTCCAGGTAATTGGAAAGCAGTTCTGTTGTAAAATGATCTCATGACGGGACGCATCTTATCCTTAAGAACACGATATTGTACTTCTTGGGCTAATCTTTCCAAATTTTCAATCTCTTGGGGACTTTTCTTGCCTTCCTTTCTCATCTTGTCAAAAATCTCACTAGCTTTCAATTCACCTGACAAATAAGCATTGACTTTCTTCTCCTTCAACGCAAACCTTGCCTTGACTGATTTTTCACCGGTCCAATCTTCTCTGTGGGTCTTTCTTTCCACGAAAATCTGGTCTGATTTCATACCACCATACCATCTCAATCTAATCGCTTCAGCACCTTCATCTTTTCTTAATCTTCCATAGTACAAATCCATGTCTTCATTATCGAAATAGATGGATGTGATTGCCGAATCTTCAGGTTCAAACTCTTTATCAGCATTAAACACCAACACTGGCAAATGTTTCAAGATGATCAACTTCAATTCAGTAATATTATCAGGATGAACCCAGTATTTTGTAGTTTGACGAACAAAGTTTTGTTGTGAGCCACCAGCGGATGAATCCCCTTTGATTGGGTTACCTCTAGTTCTAACCAAGTCGTACAATTTCGACAATTTAACAATCAAGTTATCGTAATTGTCCTTGTAGAATGGTTTAGAGTTCAACCTTGCTTGGAAAACTGGTTTCAAATGGTAGCCAGTGGTTTTGTCATGCTTCTTGATGATTTTTTGAAATCCAGTGTAGTTTAAACGAGAAAACTTGGCTAAATCATGAACATCAGCAATAATGTCTGATAATTCCTCTTCCAAGTCTTCGAAATCTTGTTCTTGTGGTGGTGAGGTGACCAATGGGTCATTGTTTTCGTAGCGATGCAAGGTGTTGACCACCTCATGAACATACTTTTCCGATTCTTTGAGTCTTCTATTGACTTCGGTGTTTTTTACCTTGGTGAAGGAATACACCTTGTCCAATTCAGTTTCCAATTGATTGAGGAATTCTTCTTCTAGCTCATTATTCCATTGGTAATCGTTATCTTTCAATCCTTTCTTCAATTGGTGTTTCAAGTCATCGTATGAAATGTAGTAGAAGGAGTAGTTTTTAATCAATGCTTTTCTCAAATGTTCACCAAACTTCATCTTGCTCGACAAAGGTAGTGTTGCTTCTAACTTTAGTGACTTCTTAAGTCCCCCTTTTTTTTTTTTGAAAAGTCTGCTAAAGGAAAACGAAGGCAACGTTAAAGCCTTTTTGGACTGAATAGAAATTTGTTGGAAATATGAATGTATATATTGATATTTATTATTTACACGGCATATTGCATACGATACTTGTGTTGTATTTTAAAATACAATCCTCCAGCGCTACCATCACATCTAATTAAAATTAGATCAATTTACTTTACTTAAGAAATTATTAGAAGACACGATCTCTTCATTTGTAGTAGCAATAAAAAGTATTCATATAAATAACTGATTTGAGTAGCTCCTGTGTATACGTAGTCTAGTGAATAGTTGTTCCTTGTGTTCTAACTGTTTTTTCCGTGCTTTAAAAGAGGAGCAATTCAAAGATAGATAAGTCAAGAAGAGGGACACGTGGGTGTGTCAATAAAAGTTTGAAAATTAGTGTCGTATTTTGAAGTTTTGTGTCACTGTAACATCATTGTAACACAAAATAGAGAGAGAGAGAGAGAGAGAGAGAGAGACAAAGAAAGAAAAGAGCAGGCACGTGCAGAGTACCGTTTTATTTATTAGATACGGCTGGTATCTAATCAAAACTTTCCCACTGATAAAGACTCAATTGATCAACTTCTCAGCCTCATCTTTCAAAGCTTCATTAAACTCAATAAAGGACTCTTTGGTTTTACTCAACACTCCAAATAATTGTAAAATGTATACCAAAAACCCACCAAACTGCTCCAGTTGAACAAATAATGTACGCTTTCCTCCATCCAATGGCTCAATTGTAAAACTGTGTACTCCGTAAAAGATCCAATCGGAAACCAACACCCCTCTCCAAACTAAGCTCAGTTCAGTCTTGCTAATAATTTTAGGATACATTGTGCTGGTGTGTTTCATGCCTTTCAATTTTAAATCGATTTGTAGTTCATCTCCCTCATTCAATTGGGGATCAGAGGTGTTTGTGTATTTTTGAAAACTCACCATGAAGGGATTCCAAGTTGGGTATGCAGCATAGTCAAAGAACCTGTCTTTGACTAGCTCAGGTGGTGCTTGGATGATGATAGTTGTTTGGATGGAAGGCATATTTGGCTGAAGGCAATGCTGTGTGTGTATGTCGTATAACTATTTTTAGATCCTTGTTTTTTCTCGAGAGTTTGAGGTTTTGCTTACAAATTATGGACCACTTCTGCAGCTGATAAGGGAGAGATGTTCCATTGCGCTTTTTACAACAGAATGAGCAAAACGATTACAGTCTTGAATCAACTCATCTTTCTTCAGTCAGCACTCCTTCTCTTTCGCTAGGATTTATTCAACATTATAAGTGTTTTACATAAAGATCAAAAAATACGTTGACTCTTGTAGATTTAGTGGGTTGCTGCTTCGTTTTACAAGCAATAGAGGTAACCGATTGTTTGTATAGACGTCAACTTTTAACTTTCTTTTTTATTGAATTTTAGGATTCATTGTGAATGAGTCTTGGTTTTGCTCAGTTTAATTTCCCTTTTGCACCAATTTTGTTGCAAATTTTAGAAGCCATCATTACCTGAGCAATGCTTACTCCCTAGTTTGTTCTCAATCAGCAACTCCAAGAAACCCACCAGAAAAGTATAGATATAAAGATAAAATAAAACTAAACAATACGATAGAGCTGTTGCAAAAAATACAACTTCTTGAGAGAGATCCAATTCATTGCTGATGAAGAGTAACTCTTAGATTCCACTTGCTTTCGTTTACTCCTAAAGACACTAAATGGCATCATCGGATTTGCAAGTAGGGTGTAAAAGGCTGGTGTGAGACTGGCGTGTCAAAACATTAAAGCGTGAAGAATAAGCCTTCTTCTAGGCTTGCACTGAAGCGGGACTAAAAGTTGAGGCGGGCTTTCGAGCCCCCCCCCCCCTAGAAATTTCGACGCAGAAACCAATTTTGAATAATTTTATTTTGTTTGCGTGATTTTCTTCAACATACGCACACACACACACACACACACAACTGTCAAAGAGAGAGATAGAGAGACAGAAAGAATGACAGAGAAAACAAAAACAAATGGTCTCTGGGACTTGAGTACCAACTCTTCCGACAGTCAAATACAGTCAACGCTCTCCATTGCATAGGACACACCCATTTGTGACAATTGACATCTAGACTGACTATACAACACGTCATAAGAGGAATAGATTCAATCCGCATTTTAGACAGATACATACACATAAAAAGGTGAACTGGAAAAAAAAAAACAAAAAACAAAAAACAAAAAACAAAAAGTAGATACCGCCCCAGCACCAGGTAGAAGAAAAGCCAAAGCCGAAGCCAAAGCCAAAGCCAAAGCAGATGACCATGGATACTAACGGTGTCCAGCAAATAATATCGGCACTTGAAGTTGTGTACAACCCCAAATCCACAAATGACGAGAGGAGACAAGCACAATCCTTTCTTGAAACTATCAAGTCAAATGATGAATCACCATTCTGGGGATACCAACTAGCACTTCCCGAAAACAATGCATCAAATTATATTGTTAGGTATTTTGGACTTACGTTGTTACAAGGCTCAATCAGATACAAATTCCATACATTTGACTCTACCAAAGTATCAGCTTTAAAGAGTTGGGTGATTGAATTGGCAAACAAGATACTAGATAGCGACCCCCATTACATCAAAGAAAAAATTGCGTTTCTTTGGGTTGCACTAGCCAAAAGGATATGGGGATGCTATTTAATAAAGTCAAGAGGACAGGATAGCAATAACCATGCTACTGACGCCAATGGAAGAAATGAGGTAAACAACAACAGTAACAACAGTCTGGAAATAAGTCCTCAAGAAGCAGAAGATGGGTGGGTTTCGATGGATTCGAATTTGTGGGCCCTTTGGAACAGTAACATCACCTGCCGTGAGTTGTCGTTGACCATTATAAGAACCCTTTTCGAGGACATTTATCTCCTTGATGATGCTGTTGCCTCTAAAAACAGTGTCATACTTAACCAATTAGCGGTGCTTATAACCACTCCGGACAAGGTTCTTGAGACGATTTATGAAAACAACACTAATTTCGCCATTTGCAAAGCGTCTTCTGATGGATGGTTTGTCACTTGGTCAAGCTTTTTACGCGAGGTTGTGGACCAATACCAAAACGAGGTGTATCAAAGATACATCACCAGAATTTTATCCACTTTCAAAACGTGTTTGCATTGGATCCATCCAAGAGTGTTACGAGAAGAGGATACTTTGAACACGTTGATAAACTTGTTGAATGTCCCCGATGTCAAGATTAAAACTTTGGCTGTTGATTGTTTACACATTATATTCACCAGAACATATGCTCAAGATGAAGAGTTTGAGTTTTTCATTGGGTCTATTTTCACTACCGAGGGGATCAGTAAATTGCATGGTTTTTATCAGTCATTGCAATTAGACCCAGATGATATTGATGAAGAAGTGTATGCATTGCTCAAAAAGACAGTGGAGATGATTGTATCCTTGAGCGAGTACCTAAATATTTCGTCGAAACACAAGGTTAATTGGGAGAAAAGCGACGTGGATGGGTACCTTAGCCTAGTATTGAAAACTACTGACCACCCTAGTCTAATAATTAGTGGATTGTCATTGCAAATGTGGGTAACCATATTGAGATTCGACGAACTCAGCGCCAAAAGACAAATTGTTTCAATCATGATGCAATTATTGGATATCGCTGCCAATAGAACTATAAACTTCCTTTTGGATGATGACAATGTCTCGAAAAAGTTTTTCGATGTTGATTTTGACTCGACCCCAGATGCCACCAGTTTTCTACAGAATTATCGTAAATTTAACGAAGACATTATTAGGATAACGGTTTGTAAAAAGCCCGAGGAAGGACTTGTTTGGCTCGAAAACAGGTTGCAAGATTTCTTTAGTTCAGAATTGGGTAGCCAATGCATCAATGATTACAACCTTGGTGAAAAATCCAAAGCATTCAATTATGGCTCATCGCAATTCAGCATAATAGAAAACAGCATACGAGGAATTTCTCGATGGAGAATATGGTACAATGGAGAAGACTTTACCACCATCGATGACCGATTAAACAAACTTGTGATTCAACTTGGTGAACGATTATTGGCTATGAACTTGGCATCACCATTGATTATTAGAAAACAGGTGCAGACTTTGGTGCAGTTCGCCCCATTGTTGAAGGGGGTTGATAGTCCCTTGATGTTTCAAATTCTTGAAAAAATTCTCACCACCGCCACATTCCCCTATCCACCAAACATCACCGATGAGGATAAAGAATTGATTCGTGATTTGCGGGCTAGTTGTGGTACCGAATTGAATAGACTAGCGTACATTATGCCGGAAGCGTTGAAGAATATATTCAATGACTTGGAGAATGTTGTGGCGAATATCTTGTCGTCGAATAAAGTTAGTGCGCATGAGAATGTCGCCTTCAAATCGTTCTTGTTGGTTATTGCCTCAAGGTCTTCAATTGACGACAAGAACGACTTGTTTGCCAAAATAGTTGATCCTGATTTAGCAGCGTGGTCGGCACCAGAAACTGAAAAGGGGTTGATGGACTTGCATTGGTTTATGGAGAGGATTGGAATTGTTGAAATTGCATCATATTTCCAAAAACGAGGCATTACTGCTTCAACGAATTTGTTGCAAGCCGAAATGGACGATGAGGGCAAGGCATTGAAGCAAAAATTAAAAGACCATTGGAGCTCAATTTTCCCAATTAGAGCAACTAGAATATACATCCAATACAGCATTGAGAAATTGAGCCATGATCTGCCAGAGTATTTGAACTTGCTTAAATTGTGGAAGCCACGAGTGCAACCGATTGTGCCGCATATCCTACAACTTTTGACCCAAATCCAAGCTTATCATGACCCAGCCAATTGGGTAGATTTGCCGGCCGAGGTGCAAAGTTTTGTCAAGTATAGTTGTACTGAAAGGTTCTGGCAACAAGGAGTTTCAATTCAGTCAAAAGAGACTTTTATCGAGGAGAATGTTAAAGCGGCTTTGACATTGAGAGATTTTGCTGATTCCGTGGGACATCTCGTTAGGTATACTAGAGAATATGCATTCTTGACTGTTGGATCTTTAGCTCAGTTGGAAGATACACTTTACGAAATTCCTCAAATTGCCAGCATGATTTGGAAAGCCGTTGCTGGCGATACTGTGGGGGTAACCTTGCATTCTTGGAAACATATGATCAATAGCTGTCTACGGGTCGTTATAAAATTTTGTCCTGTCAAATATATTGAGGTCTTTATGAGTGAGTTGTTGCCCAAGGCACTAAATGATATTGACGCTTTGCTTGTTAGCAAGTGGGATAAGGTGTACAGCGACGGCTTGCAATTACAAGGTCACGAGGATGATGAGACATTGTCTGAGGAAATGATGGAGGAACATATGTTGAGACAATTGACGGCAACGGTAGTTAGAATGTTGATGGATATTGTGGGGCAATACAATTCCAAAATACTTACGGATACTCAATTTGCTAGTCGGAAATTGGTGATTGAAAACAAACAAGTTCTTGCCCCTTTTTTGAAAATTTGCTGTCATATAATCTCCTTCAAAGACACGAAATGCTCGTTCAATACAATTTTGGTGATACGCAACATCCTCAATGAAATCACCGGGAAAGACGACGAAGTTGACAAATTCCTTACTGAGAATCTCATTCCCTCTTTGGTGCGGGTGATTTTGGATAACTACTTTGTCGAGACCCACGGGGAGGCTGCAACGACACTCACGGCATTGTATTGCCAACTACGATCTAAGAATGATTACCCAGCACAAAGATTGATGAGATTGTTGGAGACCAACAAGGAGGTTATAATTGGCTTTGAAGAGACTTTGGGGTTATCGAGGTCATTAAAGCTGCAGAGGAATGCCATGCTCGAGTTGATTAGAGTCTCCAAGGGGTCTGAGGAGGAAGATACGAGAAGGAAGAAGGAGTTGGATCAAGTTGCCAAACGCAAAAAGATTGAGTCGGAGGATGTTATGAATAATGATCCAGGCTTGGGCAATTTGTTTGCAGAAGAGTAATTTCTTATATATATATATAGGTTGTAATAAAGTGTCATGTATATTCATTACCGATTTTCAATAAAGAGCGGCAGTTTTATTTGCCAATATGATTATCAATCAATACAGTTGCAGGACCGGTGATTTTCAAGTACTTTGGACGCCCCCCACTTCTGCGGATCTTGTTATACATCCAATGCCAAAATCTACCCAACCGCTTCTGCACAGGGACCCAATATGGGACTACGGGAGCCAATAAGTGACGTGGATTCAATGTTGCCAATACTTGGTCCCTTGTGGCACCGATTTTCTTGGTGTAATTAACTATCCAGTCGGGCCAATCGAAATGCGGGATTTCCAATCGGTGTAGTTTGTAAGCACCAGTGTTCAACTCATCTGGACGAAGCCTTGCCATTGCTTTCGTGTTTATCGCTACTAATGCATCCTGGTTGATCATTACTTCGTCATTGGCCTCCACTTGCAAATTGAGAATTTCAGATGCAGAATCAAGTACAACTGCCCCGCGACCTGAAATTGCAACTGATTGTTGACTAGCTACTGTTCCCGACTTAAAGCTCAAGTTAGAGCCCGTCCATCCAACAATTCCACCAAATACAGTCCACTCGTGACTTGCGTCCAAGACGCGATATTGGTGTTGTCCATGAACAAGGACATTGGCCGCCTCGGTCGACTGCAAACAGTGGTAAACGCGACCGTGCAACAACTTAGAGTCTGAGTGGATGCTGTCAAGTTTGACATTTGATGCGAGAATGGAGCTCTTGGAGATATAGATGCTCGATGTTTGCGGGAATGATATGGAAAGAAGGGTTGATGGATGGCCTATTGCGTGGAATTGCGGGCGGGCTGCGAATGGGCCTGCGCCTGTGATTTGTGGCTTCTTGAGTGGGATTGAAGCATATCGTTGTATTGGCGTCAGTCTCATTATGGGTGGTATCTGTAAAGACAGAAGGGGAGGGGAGGGGAAGGAGTGTTGATGAAGAGGGTTGGAGTGATAGATGCTTAAGTAAAGGTCGTGCTTATGCCAACCACGAAAACGCTACCCGACGAATGGATTATGCATCACTCTCAGTAATACAGTCCAAGACGGGTACAACTATGTAACAGAGGCTTTTTCAACTCTTTCATCACTGTTGAAAATCTCACTAGTCTATTTTTGTTTTGAGATTGAAGACACACATACGGTTAATGTCATCTATAGCACTTTGTTTTTTTACTAAGAAAATGTAGCCACAAGTGATTCAGCCTCGGTGATGGCTTTCAACAACGAATCATCACATAATGATTTATCCACATCATTGACAATCTTGCTGAAAGTAACAAACAATTTCCACCAGCTCACAGCATCTTTCAAAGCAGATTTAATTTGTTCGGCACTGGTAGAGTTGACTCCGTACACATTTGCATTATGAGTTGGGTTTGAAACTTGGAAAATGTGATCTGTAAGGAATCCAGTGGCAAACGCAGCTGCGTCAGCGGTGCTAGTACCTGTTGTTTTGTGATTTTTCAATGCAACTTCAAAGTAAATCTCAGCAACAATTCCCATCAATGTGTTGTTGACATTATTGAAAAACGGCAACTGATCAATCAACTGAAACCATTGGGTTTTGTTTTCAAAAGTCAGTCTTACATCATTTTGCTGTTGCTTGACGATCAAATCTGTCAAGACACATTCACTTGTATGAAGTAAAGTTGAATTGATAAACTCAACATGCGATCTAAAGTTTAGCAAGCTCCTTGAAACTGGACCTTGGTAGTTGATGGGCGATGAGTGGAACTTTTTCAATGATGTAATTTTGGAAATGAGACCGATGGTGGCAGCTTCACTGGCATTCAATTCGTAAGTTGAGTTGGCCACCTTGTAATGGTTAGCGACACTAGGAAACTCCTTGTCTGTTTGATTAAGTTTCAAAGTGTTTGATTTAAGAAGCAACAAAATCAAAACAAGCGATTCCAATTCATCTTGCTTGATATGCGGTGTTTCTCTGGCAAGCTTTTCAAGTATCTTGCCTATAGAAGTTACCTGGTCTTTCTCATCCACGATACCAAACAAAAACATGGTTCTCAACACAACAGTCGAAACTATATCCCCGGGCAAGCGAAGGTCGGCTTTAGCGTTGTGCTCCCCGGATAATGCATCCGCAAAGAATGTCCTCAAGTCAAACGTCTCCGACTGCTTTGCGACAAACAAGTGTCCAATACGCTTGCTAACGGTTGGAGTCATCCTGCTATTCAATTCAACTTCTTTTCCAAACCAAAACTTGACCTTGATTTTCTTTACTTGATAATATCTTGCCATTAACTGAGTTAGCAAGTTGTATTGCTGATCGAGATTGTCAAGATAAAACTTTGATGTGATCAACTTTTTAAAGGTGTCATTATTGCCCAATTCCAATGGTGGCCGCACATCATATTGACCATTGGTTACCGAGTTTAATAATTTAATAGGCAAGAGCCCAATCGATTGATAAAAATAAAATTCGGGTGGCAACCGTTGTGAGATTATTTCATGCAAATTCACAGGGATCTTGCTAATTGTATTTCCCGATGGTGTACCGGTACTTGTTGGTTTACTGTTTCCACCACCTGGTGAAGCCCCAACCGATGACGTGGATGTTGTGGTCGCAAGATCATCTTCAATGATAAAGTCGATGTCTTTTTCCAAGTTGAACTTACCCATTTCCACATTATACAACTCAGTGTATCCCTCTTTATTGATTATTGGAGCATACTTGATTGCAGTCTGCCCCCTTGTGTACAAATCGGTTAATTTGGGGTCATTGAGATTCAAGACATACCCATACAAGCTTGAAATATCACCACTAAACTGCATATACTGATAGAGGATATCCAAGCCAATTTTAAAGTTGTTTATGGGTGGATAATTGGGGGTTGGTTTGGGCTGAGGTGGGAAAATTGGGAAAGTCTTCGGTTGGACTGCGCATCCCACCATCAAACTCAAATCTTGAAACTGACGATCGTTTAATCCTAAGTCATGCAACATTTTGAACTTGTCAACATACCTAAATTCTTTAGCAGAAAACTCCATTGATATGATAAACTTGTCAATTTTTGTGAGTAACAAATCGGTTGATCCGTACAATGCATCAACGAGACCTTTTTGATACAAGTATGACAATTGAAACGATGCATTGTATGGGGTGACTAAATAGTCAGTTCCGAGCTCGATAAAAATCTTGATCAAATCATTAACCAATGGCTCCAAGGGTAAGGTCTCGGAATGTAATCGGAAATTTTCATAAGGGTGTTGCGTGTGAGCATTCGAATAAATCTTCTTCCATGTAAAATCATGATGCTGCTCTTGTGGCGATAGCTCATTCAGCCTATATTTGACAACCTGCGATTGAATAGGTAAGCCAGGAATGACAAATACCGGCTTAATGTTGAATTCTTGAAAAACCTGTAAATCCAATTGAATGTAATCTTTTAACGAGCTAGGCACGCCCCCAATTGCAGCCAAGGATTGCTCTTTTCTGTATGTGTATATACGACTGAGGTAGTATTCAGTATCAATACCAAGCACGGCATTGGACAATATTTCAAACGAGCTAACATGAGCTAGTTTGCGCTCAAAAAGATAGGGCTCGAGTGACTGAATTGGCATTGGTATAGTGGACTATGTTGACTGAGAGTGGTGTAGGTGACTTAGTAGTGGAATAAGTAAGCAGAGGGATTCGAAAATACTCCAATTGGTGTTAAAAGATCGTCTCTGTCAACACAAATAAATTTTGTTGGTGAAGAGGAAAAAAAAGAAAAAAAAAAGAATACAAAATTGGCAGAATTCGCTACCAACCAACCTCGATCTAACCTTTCATCTACTTCTACAGATCAACTCTATTGACCTCATTCTCTATTCACACACACACACACACACACACACAGAGGTATCCTTACATGTTTGGACTCAACATGTCGGCCTTGACCAAACTGTGTATATCCAGAATGGAAGCATTGATGAATTGCCTCACTTCCAAAGCCAACCAAATCTTCACCATGCTCAAACTATTCTCATCTCGCAACATTTCTCTACCTTCTTTCAGTACCCCGAGTTTTCTCAACACAGGTAATGAACTAAGTTTCATCAAGTTAGTAAAAAGAAATCTTCTTCAGTGGGGAACCCAAATAAAAGAGCGTATACGAACCTTTGGAAAAGATCCAACTTTGGATCCAACTGTCTTCCAATTCCTTCCAACAACAAAATTGCAACCACAACTGATACAAAATCACCCTCCATACGCACATGATGGTTACGAACCATACTCAACACTTGATCTAGCAAATCACCTATACTAACTGTACCCAAAGTAAATGTACGCAGCTTCATCCTATCAACCAATTTTTCCACTTTCAAAGCAAATATTTCCTTGTTGATTGCGGTTTCCGGTGTCCTTGATCTTTCAATCATCAACTCGCCTGCTTTGTAACCGTCAAATTCAGAAAGTGCCTTGAACAAGTCGATAAAATTGACTCTATCAGTATGGTTCAATTCTGTCACCAATCCAACATCCAAAAAACAGATTTCAGCATGATAGCCTTGTTCGTAAAGTTGGGCAAGTTTTTCGCACCATGCCGTCTGGTTGTTGCCCAATTTCAACAACTCCTCAGTTATCTTGTTTGTTTCTTGTTCATTTGAAGTCTTGACAATCTTGTACTCCTTTTCATGTTTGAAGTGCTCATTCTTGTAAAATTTGACCATCATGTTTCCCGGATGCAAATCAGCATGAACAAAGTTATCCAAAATCAACATTTTCAAAAATGCATCTAATCCTTTATCACTGATTTCCTTGGACAAGTTTTTGCCAAAGTTTTCCGTTAATGATAACATCTTGCTCAATGGGATGGCGTAGATGTACTCTTCCACCAACACATCTCTAGTGGTGAAACTTAAATAAGGCTTGGGGAAATGTATATCCAACCTGCTTTTGAAATTTTCTCTAAACTTGGCCAAATTCAATGCCTCGATACGCAAATCCAATTGAAGTCGCATCAATATGGAGAACTGTTCAACTTCGTCAGGTAAAGATAACCACTCCATGGTGGGGATAATGTTGATGAAATCAGCGAAAAACTTCATAATCTTCAAATCTCGATTTATATTGATCTCCACCTTGGGATGTAAAACCTTGATTGCAACACGTTCATTTGAGTCTAAGTTCTCAGTAACAATCAAGTTCTCAAAAAATTGTGTCTCGTGCTCCTTGTTTTGATTCTGCAATCTCTTTTGAATTTCCTCTTCTTGTCTTGACGCTTGGCTTAAAGCTGCTTGGGAAAGCTTTGCTATGTAAACTTGAGCAATGGCACCAACACCAACTGGCTTTTCATCAAACTCATCAAAAATCTTATCAAATGGCAAACCACCAAAACTCTTTTCGAGAATCTTTTTCGTTTGAGCAAAACTATGCGCTTTTGCGTGACTGTGCAATGTAGCTAATTCATCACACATTTCTTGTGGGAAGATATCGGTTCTACTGGCTGCCCATTGGCCTAATTTGATGAACGAAGCACCAGCTTGTTCCGCTGACCAACGAAGGTAGCGGTACCAAAGCGTAGCTCCAGTTCTAACCATGACACCATCTGCATTACGATGCTTTCTTCCAAACCAACATATGGGACTCGACAATAGAACCGGCAAGAACAAACACGACAATTCAAGAAATCGAGTGAATGTAATCACCGGATCAATAAGATAGTCTTGTAGAAAGAATGCCGTTCTGTATAAAACTCTCACAAATATGGATGGATGCTGGGTCTTGCTTTTCCGGGAGGAGTCGTACTGGTCATGCTCTTCCTTTTGAGATGCTTGGTATAAACCAGTTTCATAAGTGTCTGCCGTGCTTATCGGCGTTAATTCATGGATCGAGGTGTCCAAAGCATGCACATCATTGTAAACTTGTGAGTTGTAGCCAAGTGATAGTGCTGATACACCAGTGGCTAATCCAAAGAAAATTTTTGTCTTGTATGACGTCGATGGAGTACGAAAAGTGTAGTGAAGTTGTCGCTTTGCTGAGATGTTATGTCTTAGTATAGATTTCAACGGGGTGTGCCTTGCTTGGTGTTTTAGTAAATCAAGAATCATGATAGGCTATTCGTATCATATGCTTGGAACTGTAGCAATTGGTCTATAGGTGTGTATATACTGTTTGTGTGTGTGGGAATGTCTCTATGTTTTTTGAAAGTAAATGATTGATGTTGCTAAAAGCCAATTGATTGCTACTGTTGATATAAAAAAATTATTATTTTGTTTTTGTCGGCTGGAAAACTGAGATTGCACAAAATCCGAGGACCTTTTCAGATTCACAGAGATATTTTTACAAAGTCCACACACGTTCACACAGTAGTCTCTATTCATAGTATGCACCCTCTCTACTCTTAATCAATCAATATAAGCTACAAACTAGACTTTAATATCAATCATTTATCTTTTTGTTCTTTTTCTTTTCTTTTTTTTTTTTCAACTTTTGTTCTTGTCACCATTTTCATCTTGTAAATGGGTTCTCAATATCGAAACCCAGACACCAATGGTTGCAGCCCCCTTGGGGTTAGTCTTGGGGCCTCTTCGACTAACGATCCCATCATGAGAATTCCAAACGTCAAGAAACACGGGGATTTTAATCCATTTGATCTCATTCAACGAGTTCATAATGAATATCTTTTGATCGTCCAATTTCAATTCCGATTCTTTTGTAAATAGTGAGATCCGAGAATTATCTTGAAGAATGGAGGATTGTTTGCGGACAATTTCATCGTTTGCTTCAAAGTCAATGTCAACCAATTTTGTGGATGTTCTGCTGTCGAGGTATATTTGTTGCAAACTGGACCCGTTGCGCTTAGTGTCCTCACCCGCCTCTGAATCGTCATTGTTTTCATCGACTTCAGGGATAACCGACCCTGCACTTTTGCTTCTATGCATGAAATGTTCTTCTGCGTAGAGCATACCTTCCATTGCATTCTCAGTGATATGCGATGTATCTCCTTTGAAACTTTCTTGCTGGGCGAGACGCCTGCGCTTCTCACGTTGTTTTTGACTAGCTTCTGCATCTTGTGGGTCCATAGGTTTGTCTTTGTATACGTAATTGACAACTCTTGACCAGTGCTCTGCAATATCCGGAAGTTTGTGCACTCTAACTTTGATAAAACTGTACACCGATACTATTGTGCTGGTGGTCAATATGAAGGGAATCCACAAGGGAACAATCAACATGACTAATGCAACAATTACGAGAATACGGGCATACTTGTTTTTTCTGACAAATGGAGTTTCTTCTTGCAAATTACCAGGAAACAAATGAGAATCAGTGTGAGCCAATTTATGTGATCTTGCCAAGTCAACAACCTTTGGTCTAACAAGTTTACCAGCAATCTTTGTTTCAGGGAGGTTTTTCAAATACTTTATTTTAACCAAATCAAACTCATCAAATGGAGAATACAGGGTTATAAACGAAGTGAAGAATGCAACCGTTCGATCATTTCGTACATTTGCCAATAATGTGTGTTTTTGGAACTTAACCAAACCTTGGTAGAAGATTTGCTTGTGGTCAGCCAATTTGACCAATACTTGCTCCTTGTCAGCCAAGAAAAGTTGACCACCTGATTTGCCAAAAAGATAAGGACCAACAATGTTGGCGATATTGTCAAATATATTATCGCGGAAAAACTCGACTCCCATATGAGGTGTTGCAAACGTGGAAAAAAACACAGGCTCAACTTGCTCAAAGAACCCAAGCTCGTTCAAGAGACCAATGACATAGCGTGAAAATAACCCGCCCAATGAGTAACCAATGAAACTGATCTTGGTCACTGTTAATCCATTTTTTTCTCGTAATGACTCAATCTCGTAGAATATTTCAGTGATTATCTTTCTCGAGTTGAGGTCTAGACCATCGTATGTTTTCCAGAATCTGAAACTAGCCGGCTTGAGTGTGGCTATTACATCTGTTGTTGTTGGAGGTAAAGATTCCTTAATGTAGCGTTCAATTGTGCGCATGTGATTTGGACTGCCCCATAATCCATGGATCAATACAAATAAATGTGCCGACTTGCCTCCCTCCTTGTTTAGATCCTTTGTGGTGTCTGCAGTTGTAATGGGAGTAGCATCAGATGACATGGTTTAATGCATGAGTCTAAATGAACAAGTTGTATAGATTTGTTTGAAAAGTTCTAATATTCTGATAGACAAGAGAAAAGAAAATTCAGATAAGGAATTGGACGCAACAAAACAAAACAAAACAACAAAAAAAATAAAAATAAAAATAAACATAGTCACGTGTGTTCTCTTATATTTCTCTTCTTTCCATTCATTCTTTGTTAATCTCTATTCCTCGGCTATCAGAGAGCAAGAGATAGAACAAGAGAGAGAGAGAGAGAGAGAGAGAGAGAGAGAGAGAAAGAAATTTTTCTTTTTTGAACCAGAGTGATTTCTGCAGAGCACGGAATACTTTGCATATCAATCAACCGGTATAACCTAAGACTGCATTAAATAATGCCCTTCTGGAGTTCTACTACACCTTCTGCATCCTCTGCTAAAACCAGTGCTGCTCAGCCTGTTATTGCATCGGATAGTCAAAGGATCAAACAAGACATACAGAACCAAATCAGTCAGGAGTTGGCAGTTGCAAACGCCACCGAGTTGGTTAGAACAATAACTGAAAACTGTTTTGACAAGTGCGTCGACACCCCTCAGTCACTGTTTGATAGCGTACAAGAAACATGCATTACGCAGTGTAGAGAAAAGTATATGAGATCTTGGAACACAATCTCGAGGGCGTATATTGCGAGAATACAGAACCAATCGTAAACAGCGGCTGCACCAGCTTAATGTATATAGGTCCGGACGTAGCTCTAATGTATGAATAGATGAATGATAATGCACCAGTCATGTACTGTAGGTGAACTGTAGACTTCTATATTGATGGGTAGCGCACAGATACAAACAAAAAAACGTCTCAATTCATTTAAATTTTTTAAAAGTGGCAAACCTGGTTGAACATCACTTATAAATACTATTAATCTACTACACACTAGTCAGTCCACTCTAAATGTCAGCGCAGACCACAGTTGCATCGGAATACTCTTCTGAAATACACTCTGTACCCATTGAACACAGATTCAACCCTTATTCAGACAATGGAGGAACAGTGTTGGGAATTGCCGGTGAAGATTTCGCCGTTCTTGCAGGTGACACGAGACAAGTTGAAGGGTATTCGATACAATCACGATACGAACCCAAGATTCACAATGTTGGTGACAACATATTAATGACGGCCAATGGGTTTGCTGCTGATGGAGTTGCTTTAATCGACAAGTTTAAGCAATCTTTCACATGGTACAAGTTCGACAATGGGAACAGGAAATTGGAAATAAGCAGTGCTGCCAGATACATTCAGCATCTTTTGTATGGGAAGAGGTTTTTCCCATACTATGTGAGTACGTTGATTGCAGGATTGGACGAGGAGGGCAAAGGTGCAGTATATTCATATGATCCGGTTGGAAGTTACGAAAGAGAACAGTGCAGAGCAGGTGGTGCTGCAGCTAGTTTGATCATGCCCTTTTTGGATAACCAAGTCAACTTCAAGAACCAATTCGTACCAGGAACTGACGGCAAAGAAAAGAAACCATTGAAATATTTGTCGTTAGAAGAAGTGATACAATTGGTACGAGATGCGTTCAACTCTGCTGGTGAAAGACATATCTACGTTGGTGATGGGTTGGAAATCTTGATTGTAACAAAAGATGGCGTTAGAACTGAGTATTATCCATTGAAAAGGGACTAATGAAGAAAGAAAGCATGTTGTCTGTATACATATATGCACTATATATATACATAAGACATATAATCAAGCCACAGTTTCCAACCTCAAACTGGTAATTCAAACTTCTTTCCCTTCATAACCTTGGTGTAGTAGATGTAAAAGAAATCCGAGTAAACTGCCGTTTGCAAAATCCCCGCAAGCACTGAAACATAATCAAAATGACCCTCAGCAAAATACCTATAAATCCAATTTGGTATATACAAAGCCCTGTAAATACCCAATGCAAAAATGTAATGCGTAGTGATATTCTCAGCTTCTCCGGTTCTTTGCAATATAAATAATTGAGGCAAGATTGCCACTGCTTCCAACCATAAACTGAAACTCCAAACTACTTCGCCAATAGTATACTTGTGCGTGAAGATCAAACTGGCAACTGCTGCACCACCAATTAAGTACCGGACCGGGAAAGTATCCACGTGATTCTGAATGGTCTTTTGATACTTGTAAACCATAACATACACAGTGTATATCGAGCTTGCAATGAAAACAACTTTTAGTAATGTGTTGTAGAGGGAATAGTACTTGGTGAATAGGTCAAGGTACCTGGTGACGAAAACGATAACGTATAATGCTTGCGTCTTTAATGAAAGACCATTGATTGATCTATTAGTTTCAATTGCATACAATAGTATGAATCGACTTGCTAGATGGGAAAGATCACCAAAAAATCTGAAAATGTTCATCTTGACAAGGAGTTATTTGGATGATTGGTGATGGTTAAGTTCTGGAATGTTAATTTTTCAACACGTCAATTCCAAATCGAACACCGGTAATACAATATATGGGTTGTGTGCAGGAACATAACGATTTATAAAGTACAAACATCACAAACTAATTGCTTTGCGAATACGCAAACAAAACACCTACACTTTAAAGGCTCGTTGGAGGTCTAATACCATCACGTTACAATTCTATATGCTCTATATCGTCATCGTCATCATCGTCTATATCATCGAAATCATCATTCTCCTCATTCTCCTCACTCAGTATAGTTTCTTCACTCGTTTGTGCTTCATTCACTGGTTCTATCAAACGCCACAGCGATTGATCCAAGTCAATTGAACTGATAAAGCCCCCAATTTTATCTCCATCAAACTTGTAGTTTGTCTGATACGCAAGTCTCTCAGTGTTTAAAGACTTAAACTTTCTGCTTCTAATGTAAACCAAACTAGGAAAATTACTAACACCAAATTGAGGGAGTAATTCCGCGTGCTGCGGATCATCCCCATGACACACGTAAAAGTCAACAGCACGGTATAAATTTGCAATCAGCTGTATGTAATGGGCAGGATAATGATAATCCTTCCAATCAGCCATGTGGCTCATGATAAATATGACAACCTTTTCCTTTTCACCACGAAATAGCTCACGAGGATCCTGGATATCCTTCACCCCTGATTGAAAATTTGCATAATTGGGTTTTATCAATGTCTTGGACTCGATATAGTCAATCAATGAATGCAAGTCCCGTTTCCCTTCATATTCCAAAATTTCCTTTGATGGATAATGCAACAATTTCAATGTGGGATAGTGTCGTATGGCAAAAAGTTTGCTTAGTTTCTTATTGACCCTAGCGTTGGTCTTTAAAATCTGGAATGATTCATTTTCATGCACACTTTTGCCTGTATCATTTTTGTTGTACAAGGTGCTCAAGTTTTCAAACACTGGATTGAATAAATGACAGTATTTGCATGTATCGGAATAGAAGTAGATCAAAGAATAAGTTGCTTTCTCCAAATTAGGCTGTATTACAGAATCATTGAACTCTCTGGTGTTTGCAAATGAATGACTTTGTGAGTATGAACTTGTAACGCAGGTAAAGAACCACAGTAGTAGTTGGAATGGGAGGAAATGTTTCATGTTGAACAGTTCCGATTCCGTACAATGGAACTTCGGTGACTTTCTAAATGCAACAATAACCGCCTCGTAAAAGGTGAAATATTCGATTTCAGAGATAATCTTCAACGTATAAGCTATGTTCGATACCACAACAAACTCTGTCAAAGGCGTTCCATACTTGAAAAAATTACGAGACAAAGCTTGCGAGCCGCACACGCTTCCTGATTTGACATAAACAGCCAGAACAAAAAAAAAAAAGAGGGCTTTTTGTGTAGCTAAGCTTGACACAAAAAGGTGGTATACAATTACCAGCCATTTTTATTTTTTTTTTCAACCAAGCCAAATCACATCCACTCTGCACCAGCATTTACAGGCTTTGCTGAGTGTCTTACACGATGTGTCCTAATTGGGCCCATAACCAGCCAAGGCTGCATCTGGCTTTTTTTTTTAAAAAAATATGTCAACCGAAAGCTACTATCTGCTTGCTGTTGGCAATGTCATGAGGGAATATTATAAATACTTGGTTAAAGTCTACAGAGCGACTTTGCCAGAGACTAAGCTTTACACCCAGAACCAACACCTTGTATCCAATACAGTTTTTTTAAAATGAAAAGTGTACTCGCATTAAGCGCGTTAATTGCAATTGCAACTGCCACTTCAGATGCTATAACTATCAGATCCACCACAATTTCTTCAGATTGTCCATCTTCATCAGAGTTGCCAGTTTTGCCGTCATCGGCACTTGCTGGTGCATACTACGGAAATAGTTCCATTCCACAATCAAATGCCCCTGCGCCAACCTCCAAATCAAAGAAGATTTCGTATGCGTATGAAACGGCTTACGCCACTGATGCTGTCGATATTACACGTACCGTTTGTGATGCCAATGGACAATGTCATGTCACTACTGAAGTGGGACGCTTGACGACTTATACCACCACCATCAATGGAATTTTGACTGTCATTACTACTGGTGTACCTTCTGAACCAACTGAGGTTACTTCGACTGAACAGGTATCTGCAACGTCGACTTTTTACCAATCCAACGCTGGTCAAGCTGCCGCCGCTGCTGAGACAAATTCCACTGTAACGAGCATTGCCACTACCGAATCTGCTGTTCAAAGCTCAACCAAAAAGTTGGCCGCACCAGAGGAGTCATCTATCGACGTAACCTCATCAATTGAATCCAACCCAGCTTCATCCGCAGCTTCAGCAACTACCCCAGCCTCTTCAGTCACCGCCATCACCACAGCAGCAGCAGCTCCTGTCGAGCCTCACACTGAATACTTAACCACCGTGGTCACTATCACTTCATGCTCTGACAACAAGTGTTCTGAAGTCCCACAGACTACTGGTGTCAAGATTATTAGTTCTGTGGATACTGTTCACACCACCTACTGCCCATTGACCGAAGCTTCTCAATCGCCAATTGCAACCTCAGCACCCGAATCAGCACCAGCAGTTGCTCAAGCCTCTTCCGAAACTGTGAAACCAGATTCTAGTTCTGCATCCACCAAATCAAAAACACCAGCTACTGTCAATGTCATCACTGATAACATTGTCACTGAAACGCCTAGCGTTGAGCAACAGCAAGCAACGTCCCAAGAGACTGTTGCAGCTCAATCTGCCTCCACGTCTGCAAGCGAGTCCCCTAGTATAAATACATACGAAGGTGCAGCTATTTCCATGAAAGCTACTGGATTTGTCACAGTTGCGATCTCAGTATTGATGATGTTGATATAGTGAAAAAAAAAAAAAAAACAAAGAATTTATAATCTATATACCTGTAACACTACAAAAGTAATAATCTGTGATTAAGATGACTATGCACTCTAAAAATCCTCCAAGGAGTACTCAAACTCAATTAGATCCTTCCAAATATCGTGAGCTAAACCTTTGATGTTGATTCTTGTTGCGATGTTTTTCTGCCTATCAATATGCAACTTGGCAAACTCCTTGATCAAATTGTAGTCCAATATAGGTTTGGTATTGGTTTCGTTATCGCGAATTTGTAAGCTACCGTACCGATTCAACCTCGGATTCAACCCACAATGATGATACTCCTTGTCTGAAATTTGTTGCTGAACAATATACATTCTTCTATAAGTTGACTCGTTAACGGGGAATACATTGTAAAACGCACCATCTATAGTCGAACCAATTGTTTGATAGTCACCCGATTCACCTTTAGGAACGGAACGCAAACACGTGGTTTGCGAATTAGTCTCAAAGGATGCCTTGTTGATTAGAATTGTTCCATTTATAGATTTGGGATCATCTGGATCAAATTGAACTAAATGTAAACAATTGTTTATATCCGCCACCAAAGCAAATATCTCCTCGTCCTTAACAATGAAGTCAGCACATTCGGCATGGAGATGTTGTCTATCTTTTCCAAGCATAACTATTCTAAAAGGGTCAGCCTCAAATCCAGCAAGCCAAATGCTTTTCAAAGGATCACCCAAAAGGAAAAGATTTCCAAAGCTTTTTGCCTCTGAGACGTATACTGGTGTATCCAAAAACGCAACTGGAACCACGCCATCATCTTCCAAATCTCTCACAATCACCTTCTGTCCTTGTCCGACCAAGAATCTGCCACTCAAGTCACAAATACTAGTCACCGCTCCTCTGGTATCCTCTTGGAAAATCTCCTTGAACTTGTGATTTGTTTCAGGTTTGCCTGGTTCAGGGATGATGTCAATGACGTCGTATATCCTGAATGACCCATTTGCGGCGAGATCCTCCATTCGCAATTTCCCTGTACCAACAACGATATACTCGCGTTTAGTTTTGAATTTTTTGATTGATGACCCAACGTCAAGTACCATTGATTTGACAGACATGCCAACTTCATTATCTTGCAATTCAACCGTTTCGATAACCTTCCAATTATAGGGAGATATCAACTTGATGGATCCCTTGAATGAAGTTGCTGGGGGTTTATCGTCCAAGACTCCCGCAATGGGCTTACCTTCTTCATCTACGCATTCGTAAGGAATTTCCTTGAAAGTGGATATAACCACAGTCTCTGACAGTTCGTGAAAAGCTACCGATTTAATCAGCTCACCAATGGGGACTCTCCTGATGGGTAAGTTGAACTCATAATTATATTCCAAAGACAACTCACAAATGCGCGCATTTTGATTATTGTCTAGGAATATAAGCCCATTCTTGATCTTGGAATCTGAAAATGCAGATATCGAGACTGCAGGAATTTTGGAAAATTGGTATATTCTGGGTATGGAGTGACACGATTTAATAATAAGAAAGGGGATAACACCAGTCACAAAAATGCTTGTGTATCCATTCAAATTTGGGAAGTACACCAATCTTCTCTCAACCATGGTTCCCAAATTGAATGCGTTTTCCGGAGCACCAGTAATCTTCAAATCCTTTTCCTTTTTGAACAAGTAGTTTTCTCCATCATAGAATAACTTGTACATCAACACCTCACCGCCAATGGTCAACAACGTTAAATACTCTTCCTTATGGTCCTTGTCTCCTAGCTCATTCAAGATTACTTGCTTGATAAAAGGATCCGGTGGAGATTGTTCTATGTCAAAGAAATTCAACTGAAGCACATCGCTGAATTTGCTGACATTGTCCAATTGGTAACACCTCTCGTTATGATGTCTATTGAATGCCACAACCCTATTGTCACCTGTGACTAAAATGATAATCTTTTGTTTCGTAGACTTGGGTGGTTCTGTGCTCAATGGAACTGTAGATTGAATAGAACTGTGGCGCCTTTTTCTTGAGTTGGTCAAGAGGTCGATGTTTTTCAGCACCGCATTCAATAAATGTGAGCTGGTGATGTACCCAGTAGTGATGATCGTATCGTCTAAAAGTTTGGGGATCTTCACCTTGGAGTAGGATTCGTTGTATGTGTTGATTGAAAAAATCATAACATCACCACTGGTGAGAAAAATCATCAATAATTCATCACGTAATGTAGTGCTCAAGATTTCATCATCCTTGATCTCTTTGGTAAGTGACAATTTCTTTTTGAATTTGGTGTCAAATAGAATGATTTGCTTCGGGGTGATCTGCAAAATGTACTTCCCATTGTTCAATTCGTGAACATTTATGGTCAATTGATCGTTTACGAAATCCTTTGACTTCATTCTCTTGTATGACTTTTCAATTTGGAAGATTTCAGATTTCTCATTCTTGTCATCTGAGGTAATTAGATATTTCTGATTTAAATTCCACATACGATTGACTTGTGAAAAGGTTAAAGACGAGGATATTTGGGGTTGAATTGTGGGGACAATAACACTGAGTTTTGATTGCTCTGCACTTCCGGAACTGCTTATAATGGATACTTCATTATAATTTGGGTTTGGCAAATTTGATTTAAACTTTTCTTTCGAGCACAACCCGAGAGTGAATGATGATACAGGGCCGTTATTGGCAAGCAAATCATGTACTTTGAACTCAATATGCGATTTTTTCATGATAATTTGCTCCTGCTCTTCTTCTTCTTCTTTGTAAAGGTCGTCCTCATCAGAGTCTTCCTCACTCTCCTCCTTTATTTCCTTCTGAACAATCTTTGATGAGTTAGTGTACTTGATTTCTACTAATGGACTGTCACCACCTAAATTGGCGAAAAAAAGCAAGTCATTATCAAGACCAGCAACTTGCCCAGGATGAGTCAATTTAACATGCTCGTACAGTTTTCCATCGACCGGTTCGAGATGTATTTTCTTGATTGTTTTTCCATCAAGCTCGAAACTCAAATAGTAAAATTCACCTGTAGATAGTACAATCAACACACGATGATCATTCGGAATAGGTACAACGGCGCAGTGTTCCAATTTCAAATTTAACTCGGCTTCATCCTGATAGTTTTTCACTGATGCTGTGATCAAAGATGTAAAAGAATTCACCGCAATACGCTTTGCAATGCCTCCGTTATCCACATGTATGAGTTCGTTACACCCAACCAAAAGGCACCCATTTAATGGTTTGGAAAGTGGTATTATGCGATCAATGTCATAGGGCAAGTTATCAATATTGTAAACGGGTAACGTCGTTTTGGACTGCACGTCCAAAGTCATGACTTGGAGTTGAATACTGTCTCTATTCTTGACCAAATTACCCGCCCAAGAGTTTGATTTCGTTGACAATATAGCAATGGTTGGTTCCTGGTAGTTGTAAAGGAATTGCACGTCAACAACAGTGTCAATTGATGAATCAAGGATTCCCGCGTCAATTATAAAACTTGAGTCGTAAAACGACTGGTTTTCATATTTTTTTGTGCCATTCATTTCCTTTTCACCGTTAGTTTCCACGTTATCAATGTCTTCGTCGTCAGTGTCGTCTTCATCATCATCATCATCATCATCATCATCATCATCATCATCATTGACTCCCTCGAAAGGCAAAAAACACAATAGATTCTTGTATCGGAGACACGAGACTGAGCTGTAGGTTGGCTCTACAATCAATTCTGATATCGCCAATTTCTCAAATGTTGAATGCTGTATGCAGCTTTCATAATAATGCAATGAAACAGTGGAAATGCTATGTACTTGATGGTTCCATCTGATTATGGAAAATTTTGCATATTTTGTAGATACAATCACATAATCCAAATTAGGACATTCCGGCGTACGTAACGCTTTCAATCCCGTAACCGTTCCTTGTAGTTTGAACTGTTCAATCAATTTCAAGTGGTATTGCGGTTTAGTAGGAGTTGACTGCTTTAAAAGGATAATTTCAAATATTTGAAGTAATGAGCTTTTCGCCACAATCAAATGCTTGGTGGTTGGGGAAATGAAATTGCATCCAATGCAGCAGCTTATCCTAGAAGGCTCTAGAAAGTCTTGATACGCGTCCATGATCTATCTAGCTCTATGGGAGCAGTTGGTGGTACAATTACCAATCCGCTTTTTCTTTTTTTATTTTTTTTTTCTTCTTTCTTCATTCAGAGCTTAACAAAACTCGTTCATTGGCATCAACAAAAGTTCAGCAATAGAAAGAGAGCCAAACTATTCGACAAGCATGGCTCATTCAAAGCCCAAACCAGTCAAGAAATCAGTGTCGTTTATTCAAGATGCGTCAGACGGTGCAAATGTTACGGAGGAAACAAAATATACGTCAATAAAACAAGGGCCCGCTGTGCCTTCGTTGAAGAGAAACCTTGCGGCGTTCCCGCTACACAATTTGTTAATCCTCGTGGGATTGTTTCACTATGGACTAACAGAGAATGTCGACACAGTCTTGCTCAAAGGATTCATTACAAGTTTACCTCTCCAAGCTTCGTACGCTTACCTACTTGCAAATAATGTACACAAGAAGTTGAAACTGGCAAACATTCCCTTGCTAGTCGTATCCAGTATCGTTGTCAGTATACTTTTGGCAGTCCCAACGTTTGCCATGCTTGTAATACTAGGAGCTCCCTTATCCAATTTTAAATTTAGGACCGCGTGCTTGGCGCTACACGTTTCCCAGCAGATTTTCACGCCGTTGCTTGTGGTATATCGCCTTGATTTTCAGCAGTTCAAGCTTTTATTTGATCAAGACCGTATTTATTTGACCATATTTCAGCACCCGGTTCTTTGCCAAGTATTGTTGACATTGGGATGCTGCTGGTTGGGGGTAATTCCAATTCCTTTGGACTGGGATAGGCCCTGGCAGCAATGGCCCATCACCTTGTTGATCGGGGCATACACTGGAGGGATTGTTGGTAGTGTGGTTTCATTCGTGGTGAATTTAGTATCACGGTAGGCGGTTCTTGCAACTTGTGTCAGATAACTCGGAGAGGAATTTGTAGCAAGTGTATTCAGCTCTATCTAATATACACAAATTCAGTTTCATCCGCAACAACTTCCTTCAATTGCCGATAATCAATTCACTTTCAAGCTTAGCCTTTAACTCCTCGCTCAATTGTTGAGGCATTGTCTCCTCTAAAGAAAGATGAAGTTTACCGATGGTATTGGTGTCCCCTTCTGATATGTCAAAGTTGATGTGAAATCCAGACAATTTGTCTGAATCCGCCGTGTCTGTAACAGTGACCCTGACAAACTTTACTAGATTAGAAATGAATCCCGTGTTGGAATTCATTGCTAACATGGAAAGCAATATTTGTGTAACTATGGCTTTATGTTCTTCCGTGTCAAGGTCCCAGAAATTCCCTACCTTGATTATTTTTAATTCAATTGGAACTGATACGTGTGGGAAGTGCAAAACCACGTCCGGTCTTACATACAGACCACCAATTGAGTATTTTTGTTGAGCTGTCGATAACGCGCCAACTAGGGAAGCATATGTATTGAAATACGTGTATCTCATAAATGATTCGAACATGCTCTCAACACTCGGTCTCAATTCCCATACTGGAAGTTGGACTATTCCGCTGTCTTTTTTATCAAAATACATCAATTTGGTTTGTCCCAAACTACTCAAATTCCGGTCTTGACTTCGAAAATGACCTGCATACTTTTTGTCAATTGTTTTGAAATATGTGGGGTTTGGTTTATGAGTGGATCCTTCTTTTCCTCTTTCTTCTTGAGCAGAGGTGTCATTTTCCAAGCTCAACACTTCAACACCAAACCTGTTCATGATGTGAAAGTTGATAATATTGGCGATTTTCTCTTCAAACACGATGTCGTTGTTGCACACATTTCTGGCATTTGCATGAAGCCGACGTATGAAGTTGTTTATCGCTCTTCCCAAAGGAACTGACACATTACTATCTAACTTCTTTCCCTTATAGTTGATGAATTGACAACTAGCAATCGCAAAATCGACAAACTTAGAGCTTTCGTCCTCATTCAACTGAAATCTGTTGATTATGTCACCAAAGTGCTTCTTGGCTTCCTTCTTGAAGTCAGTTCCATCTTCTTCTTTCTGTATCAGGTTGAATTCCTCAAGCAAATACGACAAGTCACCTTCTTCATTGAACAAATTCTTTATTGTTTGTACTGAACGCTGGACACCCAACTTTATCCAAATGTAAGTATCTTTCAGAGTCATTTGAACTCCCTTAGTGATGGATATGTGGTCCGTTTTGGTACTTATGACAACTGTTTGGAATGCACCAACACAAGTAGGTGGTCTGTTAGCCACAAAAAGCTGCAAAAAAAATTATAAATTGAGCTACCATGTGTGAAAATTATTTCTATGTTATGCAAAATAAAGTGAAGCATCCAACAAACACCCATCGAAACTCACGCAACTCACGCAGTTAGCTGACCAACTTCGAATATGTCTAGAATTTACCATTATGGTACTTGTATTACGAATAAATCTCCGGCACACTCTCCTTCGAACCAGGTAAGATGCAAAAATCGACGAAGAGAGGGTTTAGTGGTGGCGACTCTCGTTCGAGAAATGGAAAGGTTGAAGCTTTGACAGCACATAAAGAATTGATTTATTTATAATTCGCTTCGGAACATCCAACTACTCACTTCTGTTGATCATAATTTATATTGCACTGAGCAGAGAATGCTTGATTAACAACTTCAGTTGTAAGGGAACAACTGGCGATGCATTAACGTCAGTTTTGGTCTGGTTCTGGAGAAGGAGTAGCTGCAGATTCAGAGTCAGTAACTCTAGCAGAAGACATATTGTATATATATATATATATAGTTTATGGATGATACTTTATTCCTTAAAGGTCAGAAGAAAACAGAAAAGATTTCCAAGCTTGAGAACAAATTAAAGTTGGGAAACTCAATCTCTAATTTATAGTGTTGATGGAAAACTGCGCACAGTAGGATGAAAACCCGTGTGGCCTTGCTGGCAACAGGACTCTTCTCTGAAGTTCACCAGTGCAAAGATTAATAATATATATACACTGGTTGCCATGTAACGTATGCAACACATTCCCACATTCCTAAGAAAAAAACTTGAACACGCACGTGACTTCTCCACCACATGAACACCACAACAACTTTTTGTTAGATTCCTTGAATTACCATAATCCAACAATTTCCTCTAATGGAAGGTCTCTTGGATTTGGATTCGTCATATTAAAAATTTGCGACAACTCTTGGCAAGAGTAGTATTGGATTAGTTTTATGACCATTTTTGTATCATATTCAGTGGTCACTTCAAATTCCTTTTCTGGAAACTGTACCTCATCATTTGGCTTGAAGTGCAACCCTATGGTATCTAATTGTAGACTTGGACTAAAGACAGTCATTAACTCATATATTTGAACCAAATCTTCGCTAGATGAGTCTTTGCCCCGAAGAGGTGTGTGCCACCAGTTGATGCTAGCCAAAGGAAACCCCCTACGGAACCCACAAATTATGTTTGCAAATGAATCGTTGTATTTCGCAGTGTGGATAATAAGTGACCTCAAACTTTTGTGACCAAAAACTGAAAAAGTTGAGATTACTGCACTTTCATTATACTTTTCAAAATACATACCGAGCAAGACAAGGTTAGGCAATGTTGTTTGAAGATCTGTACTTGAAAATAAAAAGTGAGGCAGACATTCACCTTGAAGAAACAACTGTTTTAGGAAAATGGTATTGAAATTGAGATCAACATTGTATGGCCTCAGGTGCTTCGAAATTTTGAAGATGCAAAGAGTTTGTAACTTCAATTTGGATTTTGGAATTTCACTCCACGCTTTGAGAAAGATGCTCAAGCTCGTAACACAAGGTAGCTCGTTCACGAATTCAAGACCACGTGACCAATCACACATCTCGATTGTAATTTTTGGTACTCTTGACTGATTGTCAAACACACGAAAACACTCCTTCGATTGAATATAAATAGTATTAATTGCAGATATTTTCAAATATCGTGATATAAATCTATCAACGTAAAGGCCAAAGTATACCTTGTACCCTATAAAAGGTTTTTGGGTCACTTCGAGATACTTTATTGTTTGAAAATGTCTTAGAACACATTCGAATAGAATGACATGGCACGCGACAAATTCTAATCGATCAATGTGCTGATGTTTGTCCATTTTGTTCAAGTACTTTTCGAGTGTGTTCATAGAGATAATGGTGTAGTTGTTACTTTTCAAAGTATTGAAGTGCTTGTGATATCTGAATTCGCGGTCTGAGCCTTTAGTGGGGCCCGATTTTGGATCAAGTGGATGTGATGGGTATACATACAACTGGTGATAAAGTCTTGTTTTCGCTATTGGGGCGAATCTCGAATGCAAAGGAGCCAATTCCAATACTTGATGTTGATTGAGCTCGTTGAAAATGATCATCAATGCCCGCGAAGGCAATTTCGATAGGTATAGCATCAATTGAAAGCTTGCTAAGCTCCGGAACCAGATAAAGACTGGCTCCATTTTTTTTGTCGGTTGTTCTTGAAAAAGGCTTGCGAAATTTTTACTGAACCTTCCTATTTTAAGTCCAGCTAACAATTCTCCTCGGAGAGGTACTGAAAATGGCAGGTGTAAGGAACTTGAGAATAACAGTCATTACACAGTACGCTCGAACAAAGGGTCGCGTATTATAAATACGGAATACGGTAACGGGGATAGTATCTAGTGGTTCGCATGGATATGAATGATATACGAAAACTTGATCTGATGTGCTGCATACGTTACATGA